GGAAAGCGCCTGCCGCTGGGACTGGGTTCTGTTTGGTGTTAATGCTGTGGTTTTGCTGTTTGCTTGCTTTATTATACACACTAGAAAAGAACTGTTATTCTTATATTCATATTTCTGCCTGAGAGCCCCTTAATTTCAAAAATTATAATAAGTCGGAGGGAGGGGGTTTACATTTTACATTCCAAGGAAGGCTCCAGATTTTCCTGGCAGATACCTGTTTTTCAAACTGACACACCTGAATCAGGTGTCCCAGGACTTGCTTTTCTGAAAGTCATAAATTTGGAAACAGTGAATTGTCAAAGCTTGCACTCGAGACAGGTGCCCTTTCCACAGGCAGAGCACAGCTCCATGCTCTCAGTTTCCTGCAGTATCCTCTGGGAAGAAAAGCTCATCCTCTGCTGCCACCATCAGTGTTGCTGCTGCAGCCCACACAGGAGTGATGTGCACAAAAGAAGAAAATTTAGGTGAGTGAGTTTGTGGGACACCTGTGTAGACTGTTCAGCTTGGTCTCAGGTGCCTGTATCATGATGAAGCACACATACTAATGGGGAGGGTCTTCCAGATATCTACCACATATTTGACACCAGATAACCAACCACTAAATCCCAAGGGATTCTGACTTAAAGCTTTTAAAACCTCTTCTCTTCCCTGTTGCCCAAACGTGGTCAGGTCTCAGTTTCACCCTCCAGGCAGAACAAGCTGGTAAGAACATTGGCTCCATGGCTCATTTTCTTTACCATCCCAAACATGCAGGTACTTCCTTCTACTCCGGTTGAACTTGCCATCAAAAACATGGGAAGAAAACCCAACTCAAGCCTGGGCAAAACTGCAACTCACACCAGCTCTGGCTGATGACCAGGAGATTATTACAGCATTTCTCTAGAGCAACAGAAGATGCTGGACTCCAAACAGGTCAAAAGTCTGAGCAAATCTTTACTGTAGCTACAAGAGAACAGTCTTGGTGCTCCCTGATTGGTGGTGCCCTAACATAAAACTGGTCAGGGCACTTGCCTGTTCAACTCAAATAGAAGCTATTTGATGATTTCATTACTATTAATCCTATTTTGCCTCTTGCTATAATATCCTGGGAAAAAAGAACAGCATGGCTGGCTTTGATATTCTAAATATTACAGGATCTGTAAGCAAATCAATACAGAAGGATCCCTTCAGTGCAGTCACTGAGCGCAGTGTTGTGTCTCCTACACTGGCAAACTCCATTCTGGGCATCAGGCCTGGAGAAACAGTGGGCAACAGCAAATGTAGAGAGTTACAGAAATCCACCTTTCCTCCCTCTCCCACCTCTGGGAATGACCCTTCAGTTCCCAGGGAGCTCCTCAGCTCTCCCAGTCAGGCTCCCGCTGCATCCACTTCATGCATTTGTCCGTTTGGTGCTCTCTCCTCTTTGTTTATTGGCAAAAACAATCTCCTCCTTTACATGATCTTGGAGCTAATATCTCTCTTACTGATCAGGACTTCCAGCAGCCTCAGCTTGGCCTTAACCTGCTTGTATTCATTGTACTCTTCAGCCATGGGAGTGCGGTCTTCTTTCTGCACATTCCTAGTGGGAGTGAAAGCAGACCATGAGGATTTCTGTAACAGGAAGCCTCCCTCCCTCTGCCCACCCACAAGCCCTACAAAGCAGCTTCTCTCCCCTGCTCCTGATCAGGGAACAAGACCAAAACATTTGTCCTTTGAGAGAAAAAAACAAACAAACAAAAAAAAGGGCAAACAATCTGCTCCAACAAAGTGTTGGAGATGCTTGGGATGCTGAGGCTGAGCACAACTCCACAGTTCAAAATGCAAAATCCTACTTGAAACCTGTTCTGCTTCCCTAAAATCACCAGCTCTGCAAAACAGCTGGAAAACACTTCAGGAGCCATCTGAGTGCCAGCCTGTGAGCCTGGCAAAATAAAATACAGCCTCCCCTGTCTTGGCACCACAGCACTTAACATAAACAGGTACACTCATGCAAAAGGAAGATGGCATTTGATCAGATTGCTCTTGGCTTACAGGAAAGTTTTAAATTTTCAGTAATTTTACAAAAGCCCCTAAGGATGATGGCTGGTAGCAAGAAACAGGCAAGATAATTTAAGAGTATAAATATATGAAAACATTCTATCAGCTGGTTAATGAGGGACATATTTTAAAACAATAAAACCAGTTACACTAAAGCAGAAATACTTGCTAAAACTAGTGTCTGAATACCTCACAGACAAGCAAGAATAGGACAGAAATCACTAGGGAAAAAACTAGTTATTTTAACATTGAATAACTCTTCCACCATTCTAAATGTGGGTAAAGCAATGATAGTGATTGTGAAGAAGAAATACATAATATTAAATTCAGGTAACTTTCCGTATTTGGAGATCAGAAAACAGATGCAAAACAGATTAAAAGTAGCTGAAGAACAGTGGGGAAGCTGAGAAATTGTTACCTTCCATTTTGTCGGAAAAAGTTATCTTCAAAGTCTCTCAATTTTTTTCGGATTCGCTTTTTCTCTTCCCTGACTTCTTGGAGCTGCTCTACCAGTTCAGGGCTGTTGGGTTTAAAGATAAATGAGATTATCCATAGTACACAATAAAAACAGGAAACACACATTAAACCTACAGATGTTTAGCTGTACATATGCCAAGCAATGGAGCTTCTCCTGGAAGCAGCTTTGGCAGCCTCACATAACTTAAAACAAAAAGCTCTCTGAATTTAATTCAGCAAAATGATCATAGTCTTAAGCCGCAGCTTCTAAGGAGGTCAAGTGTGCACTTCACAATTTAACACTAACTCCTATGAAAGTTCCTCTTCTCCTGCAGATGGGTGTGGGTTTGGCGACTTTTATAGGATCAAATTCAATGGTCACAACTTAGGGCTACCACCCCATGTGTTTGCACCAGACTTGAAACTAGCAAAGCTAGCTCCACCTGACGTCTCCAAAACATGAAAAACCTTCTGGAGTGCAGGGTTTTCATGATAAAGGCTTGCCACTGGTGGAGTTACTATTTAGAGATGGAATACAAAGGTGCATAAGCTAAGTATCAGGACAAGGTAGTTTCTTTCCAAACCCTTTCTATGAGGGTCTATGGCATTTAAAAATGAAACATGAAAACATCTGGCTCAGATCATAAATAGAAAAAAAACCCTTTTCTGACAAATAAAATACTATTTTAGCAAGAAATAACTTTTTTGCAGTTGCCTGTGAATTCAACATACATGGATGCTTCATGGAGATTTGAAAGCCCCATATCCTGACTGCTCCTAGATGGTATCTTATCATCCACCGGGGAAACAAAGCCGTCAGCATCATCTTCTAGCTGATCCAAGAAGCTGCGCACACTGAAATCCGTTTTTATGGTAATTGTGAGATCCGGCTTCACATTGCTGTCCTCCTCAGAGCCCTCCTCTTCTTCCTACACACAGGGACAGAGCAGCCCCACAACAAGACAGGTTATTGCTTCCCTTCTCAGGAACAGGCTCCTCCTCTCACCACATGCACTCAGGAACAAGAAGTGGAAAGGCAGAGCAAACACTTCAACTGCCAAGCAATACACAGGACACCAGAAGACCATCAGTAAGACACCCTAGAACCAAAGCATGACAGAGAAATTGCCACCACAAACTCAGATTGGTTAAGGAGACCCAGAGCGACACCACTAAGAGAAAAAAAAAATACCTGGGGTTCAGAGCAACCTGTTGCTTTGTTTAGTTTGTGTATTCTGACAAAAAGGAACCCATTTACAGACGTTACACATATTGTCCAAAGCACACCAGCCATCCTCTGCATTTCCCTGCAAACATTTCCCAGCACAGAGACTGCCAGGTTAAAATGTGGAATTTTCTCTCAAAAGATGCAGCTCAACAGCTCTCTCTAATGGCTGAATTCAAGACCTCAAATGCTCATTTCGTGATACCAGTGAGCTCAGATGAGTCTTACAATTATCCAAATGTGGGAAATGATTGACTGTAAAAGGACTGCTGCTGCTAACATGTTCAAACACTAGCTCTGACCATTTTGCTGGAATACACTAAAAACTGGACTGGAAACTCTGCACAGTGCAATTTCCCATTTCCTCAATGCACGCTGATAAATTGGATGTGTTCCAATTTTTTTTAAAAAAATGTACAGACATGAGATTTGAAAGTCCCTGCTGCACTTGGTATTCGCCAGTTCACTGTGTTCTCAAAAGTAGCGCTTGTCCTGAGACACTGTCCAGAAATAATTTTAATTATCAGGGAATGAGGCCCAGTCTCTTATGTACAGAGACATTTCTAGAAGGCAGTTTTCAACCTTAATGTAAGGAATGAGGCTACTTAGAGAAAGCAGCAAATGCCAGCATGGACAGTAAATCTCTCAAATATGTATGTATGTGTCTGTAAATGTATTTATTTTACAGCCATGTAACTCTAGCCAGGAAGGATCTAAGAACATGAATATCTTTAAAAGCTTTTGGGGGCTAACATCACTCAAGTCTTCTAGACAAAAATATATTGTAGCACCGAGATCAAAAGCAGACATTTTCTTGATTTGTTTTTTCATGTGATTCCTTGTGAATAGTTCAACTATTCCTAAGAGACTGGTCCCATATTTGAAGCAAAAAGGGAGAAGGCAATAGCAAGACCAGTCTTAGTCCCATTAAACCCTCAGTGATTTATAAATGCATACATTTAAATTAAATTACAGTTTGCCCAGAGTTTTCTTTTTAATTTAAAGCTCTAGGCCATGATGATACATTGCAAAGCCACAGGCTGAAAATTACAACCAAGATTGAGACTGCAGGGTGAAAAAAATATTATCTGGGAAGAAGTTTTGAGTAGCAATAATAACAAAAGATACAGAGAAGTTTCAATGCATCTTAGGAAAATCTGCAGGGAATGTGTGGAAGTTGAAGCAATATTTAGCACATGATTAGACAAGACCCATTTCTCCAGACATCAGCTGTACAGTTTAAACAGAAAGCACAAACCAGCAGCCATGTACTCTTCTTAAGCCCTACCAACAACTCCAGGCTGAATTGGGGAGCGGAGATCACCTTTCACTGCCATTCCCTGTCCCCAGGAGCGCCCCCCTGCCCACCCTGGGAAGGGCTGCAGCAGAACACAGGTACTGTGTCTGCGCCATGGAGGAGGATTTGCTAAATCAGTCTAAGCAGTGAAAGCAGCACACTTTGCTTCAGAGGAATCTCTCTGGCAACAAAGGAGGAGCTGCCATGCCCTTTTCTGGGAGAGCTCCTGGAATGAAAGCAAAGGGACAATTTCCATAAGCAGTGTGACCAAGCTGCTCCTGAGGACTGACACAAGTTCCTCACAGACACCCCTGAGCCTGCCTTGCCTTGCTGCAGACACAGCACACTGCCCGAGCCAGCAAGCAGCTCAGGAGCCAGCCTCCTGCCATGGGAGGCCACAGGAGGAAAAGAACGTGCAGAATTTTCATTTACACCTCAGAGACAACACACTGCATCTGGTTCTCACAAGAGCGCTGAAATAATTTTGCTCTTAAATAGAAAGGAGCAAATTAAAAGGATTCTTAGCCAGAGCTCCAACAGAAAAGGCCCTCTAAGGCCTTCCCTCCGAAGTCTCACATAGGAACCTCAATTTAACCTGCAGCAACATTTACACCTTGAACCAGAATGATCTTCATACACAAGATTCATGTAGCATGCACCTGCTTGGATTGTCAGGCAATCCAGAGTTACAAATGTCACATTCCCAGAGTATCCTGTCATCAGCACTCCCACAAAACAAGAATCCTAACAATTTTCCCAACACAACATTCAAGATACTTTACCAAAATGTTTGGTAAGGTCACCTCAAAACACCTTTCAAGTTTTTAGTCAACTATCCCAAATGCTTCAAGAAAACCTCACCCAGAAACACACAAATACTGACACTGTCAGCAGCCTGTGATTCCCTGCCCATAGTGGACCTATGCAGGAGCTAAGTTTTGAGGTCTTTTGCCAATTTCCTCTCTTTACTTCTGAGTGTAGTTCAGTATAATGCTGCCAGGTGCAGCTTCACAAAGCCCCATTTAAGTGTTAATAGGCACATCATGTTAGCAGGCTTAAGGCTGTCATCTAAATCTACTCCAGAAACCCCTCCAGGTTTGTATTCCCTGCAGGACTGGTTTCCAGCCCGTGCTGGCCATCAGAGATCACCATAATTGACAGCTCTAAGTTCTCACACTGGCTGCAAGCAGAGGTGGGGAAAAATGACACACTAAAACGAAAAAACAGAAGCAAACAAAACCACTCCCCACCAGACCAGTACTGCAGGTTTGATCCAGCAGTTATCTAGAAAATACTAAGAAGCTCAGTGATCATTAACCAGCTTCCAAACAGCAGCTTAACATCTTCAATCTGCAATCTGGTATTAAAGAATATGTGCCTTGAACAGTCCATTAATATACAATCCACTGCACTCAATCACCTCAGATCTCTAAGTCTGCAGTACTTACATCTAACCAGGCTCTGGCTGGATAATAGAAATATGACCCAAATGTGCTGAAGCACTTCTCTCCCTTGTTACACTGCAAGGGAGGGCTCAGCTCCACGCTGTGTGTCCTGGTCTGCTGCTGGACTTTATTCCTCAGGGGAAGGCCCAGTATCACAGCAATCCTCCCCACCCCAAATTATTACTCCACAGCAGCACAAGAAGAAACACAACAATCCTGCCATCCAAACCTGACCAAGCATCAACTAGCAGAACCAAGCTGTTCTTACTTCTATCCTCATTAAGTTAAAAAGGCCCTGCACAAGGTGGTGAAAAAGAGCCTGGATAAAACAAGTGGAGGGGAGCAGGTAAGGATCCTGTGAGTGCCCCGTCTGGCTCCACGTGCGAGGGTTAGTTTTGTGAGAGCTCATTCCTGCCACGGTGCTGTGAGCAAGCCACAGAGCCTGGGAGTGAGAGAAACTACTGCAAAACAAGTTAGTGTCTTTTAAAATAAAGGAGGAAAGCAAGAAAAAAAGCAAGGTACATGGGTAACTGTGATTCTTAAAATTTTTTTAAAAGCAAAATAAAATATATTATGTGCAGATGGAGGGGAAAGGACAAGGATAGGAAAGAATGCAAAGCCAAGGAAACACTGTAGTCTTATCTACAACAAGGGAAGAATTTGATCAGAATTGGCGAGGCTTAAAGCAGCTACTGATTTTTCAGGAGGACACTGCAAAAAAATCAACACTGATGAAAAAAAAAAGCAATCAACCATTCTGTTTCATTGGTATAAGGGGAAAGTTGATGCAAACTGAGCAATTAGTTAGCAGCTGGAGGTCTTCACCTTTATCTCCTTGAAGAAGGAAGCTGTTTCGCCCTCGATAATTGGCTGCAGCAAAGGGCTTCTCCGCTTGCTGGAGGGGGAACCCTGTGACAGGTGTTAACAAGTATGTTACATTGTGAACCCCTTTCTCCTCCACCACCTGCTCTCAGCTCAGTCTCACCCACACACTCCCAGCTCATTGCTGGACCACCAGGTGAAATAGCTTTCTCAAGGAAGAAAAACAGGCCTGGCAAACCCCCTGAACCTTGGGCTGTTTTCTCTCAGGATGTTGCTTAGCAAAGGACACCACTGCCAATCTGTTTTAAAAAGAAACTTGGATGATTATTAGCTGGGTAGTGACTATGAGGCAAAGGCTGCAAGAAAATAATCCCCAGCCCAACGGCTGGCTCTGCAGAGCTACAGGGTAAGCTCAGACAGGCTCTCCAGATTTGCTTTCCAGGAGCCTGATTCCCCACTGAAGTACCTACTGATGTAGAGATGGATTTTCAAATGCATTCTGTCTCTCTATGAGCCTCTCACTATTCTCACTCAGAAGACTGGGGAAGAAAACAGTCTCACCTCTCCTCTGCTACCCTCTGTGGATTTTCAGTTTTGTGTCTTAGCAGAACCTGGGCTCTCTATGACAGCTTTGCACTGAACTGCCCATGCACACCTACACAGCTTCCTCCTCGACTGCCAGCACTGTCTTCACAGCACACATTTTGGGGACTATTTTGCATATTCCAGGAGGAACAGCTTTTTATTTTGTTTTAAATGCAGGACCAGGAACACCTCCCAGCATTTGCAGAACAAAGCCCCACTCCTCAATGACACTGCACTGGGTAATGCTGTGCCAGCCAATTCACTTCACTGGCCGTCTACAGAAAGTGGGCAGGACATGAGCACTGCTCAGGAAAAGCAAAAAAAAAGTTTATACATGACAGATAGAGTAAACAGGAACTTTGATAAAAGAACTCTTTTCCCACAGTCCACAGTGTGGGTTTTTTAGATTAATTAATTTTTAAAAACTGGTCTACACAAATTGTCAAAAATTAAAAACAGTGAATTTTCTCCCTAGAGGGGTTTATTGAGTTCCTTGCTGGTGGCAAAGCACCGCCCTGAAAGAGGGAATATCCACCACTTAGAGGATCTCTTAATACAAATTAAGTGTTAGAAGACTGAGGGCTTTTTCTTTCATCCAAGGGCACGCCTGGCATCTCCTGTGGATCTACTCAAGTCTGTGTGCTGTGTACAGGAACCCTGTACCTACAACCCTGTGGAACCAAGCAGCATGGAAGACCTACAGCTCAGCATGGGTTGGTATGGAAAAAGAAGTGAGGCTCTACCAAACAGAGGATGGATGAAATAACAGCAGCAACCCAATGGAAAAAGAAGAAACAATACAAGGTGTGATGTGCCCTGTGGCTCACAGGTGGGCACTAAAGTTCCTTGACCAGCTTTGCCCAACTTCAGTGTGAAGTGTGTCATTGATCACTCATTTGTTTGATCTTTGAGTGATAACAGAGGTTGGGACTTAGCCTCAGTGATTGTGTTGTAACCAAAAGTGTGGTGATTCCTGCTTCCTCAGCTTGAAACCAAAGAAATACCCCACAGAAGAGTGCTCTACTCACAATAATGGGGATGGTGTTGGCTCTGGAGAGGATCTGTTTGACCAAGCGATACCTGTCATATAACGGCTTCATCACCTGCCGCTCATTTTTGGTTACCTGAAAAGGAAAAAGAGGGGACACCCATGAAACCTGCAACAAATACTCCACTCCAGAATTCATGTGCCTGTGATCACCCTCAGTCTGATGGCTCAAAGAGACTTGTATGGGGGTGACAGGAGAGCAGCATTAGCCCTGAAACTGCTGTCTACCATGGCATCGCCTGTGCCTGGTGCCACCTGAAGCTGTGTGGGCTGTCTTGTACAGGGGCTGGAAGGGACAGGTGCTTTAAATGACCAAGACGGATCAGATGTCCCCAGCACAAAATGACCTGAGGAGGCAGCACTCTGTGCTTGCAGTCACATCTGCCACCCTAAGCAGCAGTTGAGCTTTGAGCTTTCCCATCCTTGTTCCTGTGGCCGGCCCTCAATAGCCGTGCTTGTGACCCATGAAAAGAGAAAGCAGCTGCACTGACTGCATGCTGCAATGTCAGCAGACTTCCCCTGAGTATGGTAAACTACAGACTTCACAACAGCTGACTTTCTGGCTTTGCTATTCCTCCTAATTTCCTGTACAAGCCAGCAGTTTTTCTTCTTTTTAGCCCCCTAACCTTGCCCTCCATCCCTCCTCACAGCCATTTTGCTGGGAAGGACTCACTGCAATGCTTGGAAGGGATGAAGGTGCCATGGCTGTGTGGCATAGAGAAAAGAGAATAGTGCTGTGATGTCCACCTCAGGTGCTCCTTATATTGCTCTGTCCTTAATTCCCCCGCTCCTTATTCCTTCTTGTGCTCCCTTCCCAGTTTTGAGAGCATTACAAACTGAGTGCGTTATTTCTGGTTTTCTTTCAGATTTAAGGTGGGTTTTATTTTTTCAGTGTTTTCTTACAGCACATTAGGAAAACAAACAAAATCCTCAGTAATACCTGATCATCACTCAGCACTGTCTGACCCATATCCTATAAGTGCCCTTCCATTAGATCTTTTGTCTAACTTTAGATTATAAAGCTCTTATGAGGAAGCTTTAACTGATGTCATGCCTTTCTACTTGCTGCTAATCACCAGAGCACCTGAACAACTGCCATATAAAAATCAGCATCAACCCCTAGAGAGCTTTGTGCAGTCTCTCTTTCTACAACAGAAACAGGAGAAAAGGGAACACAGCTTCAGACAGTGAGGCAATTTTAAACTGCCTTTTATTTTGTCTGCAGTTAACTTTCACTGGCATAATCTTTCTAAAGCTTTTACATCCTCCCTCCAGAGAAAGAGAGACAGTTTTGGCTTGGGAGGGGCAAAAAGGCTGTAAGTATTGCCAGGAGTGGGATGGCAGGGATGAACTCTAAGAATCTGGAGGTAGCATCCATCTTCCTCCTGATAACCAAGCCTATGTTCCCTCTGTTGGGGGCAAAGGAACAGGGAGGGAAGGGAGGAAGATCTTTATTCCTTTACTGGTTCAATGCAAATATCCCCAGGCCTGATAAGGGGGATACAGATGGGCAGCCTTGAGCTCTGGGGCTGAATGTCCCACACCCCCAAGGCACAGCAGGGCTCCAATTCCTGACAGCCTCAAGCTGCCTGTTCACTGAGTAAGCAGCTCACATGGATTAGAGGGATGTGAACAGCATGAAACAATTCACTCAGTCCTCTTTGTGTTTTGTGCTGATGTGCCTGCACTCAATTGCACTGGCTAGCAAGTTGCCTCCAACTTTCAACATTTCTCTGTAACCCATCCAGAATACAACTAGAGAAACTGAATAACCTAAATATATATATAATATTATTCCTAGCTTTACAAGATTAGCAGTTTGTGGAACAGGAGGTACAGCACTACTGCTGGCTCAGACAGTCTGTTACTTAAAAAAACCCAAGACTATGATGAGGCTTATGCTGAGGCTGAGAATCAAACCTTCAATTAACAACATTTCAAAGCTGATTAACAGCACTGTTCTGTACAGAAAAATAAACACAAGCCTTGGAATGGGTACAAAGTCCTTAGGTATGTTGAAGAATGGAAAAGTTCAACAACATCCTTCAGTGTCTGAGTGTCAGTGTGGAGGAGCAACACAGATAATGAATACAGGCATTGCAAGTTAAGTGTGTGGAGTTTGAGCCTGCCCTGCAGCTTATTTACATCAGCAAACTTTACAGAAAGCATATTCTGAAAGTAAATGTTTACTACATGGGCACACTGTCTCATTAGGTAAACATAAGTAAGACCAGTAAAACCCAAGTATATTTTGGGAGAACATCAAAATGCAAAGAGACTGTGAGAATAATGGAGCCTTTGACACAACTCTGGGGCACACTCCACGTGGCAAAAGAGCAGCAGCGGAGAACAGACCATTGCTTGCATTGTTAGAGCAGCTCAAGAATTTCTGCAGACAGACTTTTGGCTTAACTAAAACAGTTCAGTTCCACCTTTGCAGGTTCATCTATCACTGGTGCAGAAAGACCCAGCTGCACAATAAATCTGAGCTCCATTGTTTTTCTTGTTTAGTTAAATATCTTTAAGGAAAAAAACCCTTGGCTGAACTATCCACATTCTCCTCAAGCTCTCAGTACTTTTCCACTGCTGCTCTGCCAGGAGCTGGGAACAGCAAAAGCTGATCAGTCTTCCTTGCCATGCAGTTCAGTGTTACTAGGTATAGACAGCTTATTTCAAAACAAAACAAATTAAAAAGCAGTTGTATAAATGAGGCATTGGAAAAGGTAGGTGGAAATAAAAGTATGCTGACAAGATAGGCTCTGGGCTTGTTATTTTTTTTAACAGACTGAAGTGAGTTCACTTCAGTAAGATGCCAACTGTTGATTTATATAATTGTAAAAGCCGCAAAAAAAGACTTGGTCTCACAGAGAACACAGGGAAGGTTAAGTGGATTCCCTTGTGCTGCCCTTTTTCTACACAAGAATAAATCTGCCTGTCCTCTCATGTAACTATGCCATTTTCAGTTGCTAATACAGTTGTGACTGTACAATATTAGCACTCCAAGAAGGCATTTAAATAAACTAGTGAGACTTTTTAAAACAATGGATAAAGGAAGATATAATTTGGAAGGAAAAGATCAGGAATCTCATGCAGCAGCAGAATGACAGATTTGTGAGCTGCACCAATCAAGTACTCCTTATAAGCAGTAATATGCTGCTCCCAAGCCACTGCTCAGGGGATTAGCAGCACTCTAAAATTAAGTTACTTTACCTATATAGCTAGTCACAGAGATTATAATGACATCAGTGAAAGAGAAGGGGTGACTCATAAAAAGCCAGCTTCATCAGCTTCATGGCCTGGAAGCCACTGTGTTTCTGCCACAGCAAGGATCAACAGGAGACAAAACTTAATTCTCTGTATTCACAAATAAGTTGGCCTTATACCATTGATATCAGAAAACTGCAAACTTCCTGGCTGGATAGGGGACCACACACAAATATTCTCATGCAGACTGTCCACTGGGCCTCAAACTGGAACCTGATGAGCACAATCCCAAAATAATGACCACTCAGCCTGTAGGTTCTGTCCTGCAGGTGTCTGTCCAGCTCAGTGCTGTGTGAGGACATCACCCTGCCTGGAACAGACTCCTCAGCAGCTGCGGAAGTAACGGATGAGGGAGGTGGATTAGAGGGTGCACGTGTGGCTTAGAGAGCAAGAAGTTCTAGTGACCTGACATCAAAAGGGGCATCATTAACTATAGACAAAGACATAGAAAGATGTACTTTGAGACAAAAAACAAACAAACAAAACAAAACAAAACAAAAAAAACAACAACAAAAAAACCCAAAAAAACCAAACAAATCAAAATCTGCAGTACATACCGGTCTGCCATGAATGCCTTCATAATTCAGCAAAGCCCTCTGAAGAGCCACTTTTTCAGCTGCTATCTGATCTCGTGTCATGTCCTATGAAAAGTGGCATAGAGAGAGGGAAAGGGAGGAAGAAAAGAAAAAAAAGTCAGATTCCTGGACTTTAAAATTCTGATCTGTGCCATAACCAAAGTCTTGTCATACCATCATTATGGTTTAAAGATTCATCTCTACCTTCCAATTGTCTTTTCCCAGCTACATTGCTAAAGAGACTGTTAATGTGAGTAGAACTCCATGCTCAATACAGGCAGATTAAACACACAAACTTTGCATATGAAGGTATTTTATGTACCTAAAGTGGATTTACAGATCATAAGTGTGCTTTGAAAAAACAACACCATGTAACTTTTAATGCTGGTGGATCTTTTCCAGTTAAGATCTGAAATGTTAGTTCTACAACAGAATACATTTGCTTTCTTTTTCTCCAAATCTGAGACAAACTCCAGAACCTCTTGTAAAGCTTCTCACCTTTGCTTTGACTATCACAAGCACACTTTACCAAGAACTGAAGTGCAGTCATAATGTCTCTTTCTGCCAATTCTGCTATGGAGTGAAAAGCTGTAGCAGACAAGAGGGAACAAAGCCCAAAAAAAAAAAGGTAAGATAGTTAGAGAAGACTTCTCTAACTAAGTTGGCCAAAATTCCCCCACTGAATTTGCCTGACTCCAAGCCTTTTCTCCCTATCACAGCACCAAATACTATCAAAGTCCCTCTGTAAATGGCCAGGCTTTGGGTTCTTGCTACAGTCAGAAAATAGTCAAAACACATGCTGTATGTTTTTCTTCTGCAGATTTGGCAAACAAAGATAATGCTGTCTGCCTCACTCTTACACAGCAGTGCACAATTTACATGTCAGCAGACTCAAGGACTTCATTTACAAGGCTGCCCAAACCTCAGGAGCTCACATCAGACATGAAGACCTCTCTACTGATAACCCTCAGAGATTACAGCAGCTAATGGAGCTCAATGTGAAACTCTGAAGGTTAGCAGTAACATACCCTGAGAGAACAACATTCAGTTTTGGGGTGAACAAGAAGCAAGCAGATGACACAATCTCCAGAAGCACTGGACAACTCAAAATTTGACAAAAACCTTTGGATGGAACAACAGAAACAGCCAAAAACAGGGCAGGAAAAAATTGCAATAATTCAGAAACATTACTAGGAATATGCAAGGGTCAGACAAAGAACAAAAGATAATATACAATAGAAACTGAGCTCTGGGAAAAAAATCAAGATACTAAAGGCAGAGGGAAAGGAACTAAAGCAAGTGAGCCCAGACTAAATGCTGCAGACTTTTTAACAAAATGTAGAAGACCACAATGCTTTCACAGTGACTGTGCAGCCACAAGTAACCTACTTGCATGTAAAGGCCTAAATGTGACCTGTCTACATTTACCTTAATGTCTTCAGGTCGATTGGTCTCTGCTCGTTTCTCTTGAAGCTTCTTCTGGATGGATTCAAGGGTCACTTCCACAGCAGGCTTGGCAGATTTGTCTGACAGGTCTTGCTTCTTGTCATCCTCCTTGTCCAGTTGAGAGCCAAAGCTCTTGGGGAGCGTGTTGCTGCGCTGACGCACAACAGGGCCAAGGTCTTCCTCTGAGATCTTCAGTTTGGACTCTGGGCAGGGAATGATGAGCAATTTTTCATTTTTAAAATGTGACTGTGTCAGGATCACTGCCTCACATCAAATCTAAATGAGGCAGAGTCAAGCTGTCCCCCAAAGGTGCACCAGTGGCAGTTCTCACCTTTAAGTTGCTTTCGGAATTTGGCCAAATCATTTGTCCATTTGAGCACTTCAGGGTTGGCTGCTTTGTCACTGTGGGAAGGCTGGGAGGAAAGAAAAGCCATGCTGAATCTGTGTTAAACCACCAGGAGCCATTCACTGTAACAAGTCTGTGGCACAAAGGGGTACAATGGAATATGGACCCAGCACAGGCACCAGCTTCTGACTGGCAGGTGCACACCTCTGAGCAGCAAACTTCAGACATTGCTTCAATTGCTCCTGCCTGTCACAACACTCTGTCTTAGGGGCATCATGAAATGCATTTTCTTTTTAGAAAACACAAAACATTTGATGCCAATGATTAAGCTGTAGGAGTGAGTCAGAGGGCCGGATGCACATTGGAATCCTCATGTCTATTGTTTCCTAACAAGAGGGTACCTCTAAAATAGAGGAAACCTAGCATGAACAGTTGGAAAAGTGTTATGACTCATGTATCCACACCAAAGGCTGCCTTACATCCAAAGACATCAAATAACCCAAATTCTAGGCTACAGCAGCATTTTTTCAGCCTTTCCTACTGCAGACCAGATCTTTCCAGAACAATTCTTTGCCATTTAGATAGCCAAAGATACACACATGCAAAGCTTTACAGTTCCTTACAAAGCTTTCTGTGCATCAGAAGGACAAGTCAGAAAAATTAAGAGTCCAGTACACTGCTGCTGCTTAGCAGCACTTGACTGTGGTTCCTTGCTCAGGAGTGAAGGCAGCTGCAATGCACAGGTGTCCTGGGATTACCATCATGCAAATGAGATCAGCCACTGTGCTTCCCATATGCTGAAGTTAAATAAATAAACAAACAAAGAGAAACTGAACACAGCTATTCCTCCACAGTGTCTTAAGCAGTGGTCAAAATCTTATGAATTCATTAGCTTTCCTTTCTTGTGCTGCATGATTATTACATAATACCTGGAAAGGCAATTTGCTTGGTGAGCATACAGATTTCTGAGGGGGCAGCAGGTCTTCTGCCTTTTTTTTTTTCCTTTCGTCATTATAAAAGCTTTCAAGCCCTCTGTATGTTTGGCATATTTCCCTGGTGTCCCTCTGTATGCTTGACCCACTTCCCTGGTGTCCCTTCCCTTTGCAGCTAATGCATCCATCTCCACATAAATGCTGAACTCCTGGAAACTCACTCTGTATTTCCTCTCCTCTTCGAATTTGTCCTCAAATTTCCTGATCTTTTTCTTCAGGCCCTGAATCCTCCGGGTGAGCTGTGCAGGGGTAAGGTCTTCTCTGTCATCTTCATAGGATCCTAAAGACGAACTCCGTCTCCTGCCAAGAGCAGAGATTGCAGAAGAGCTTATCCAAACAGCCACAGTACATCTTGATGCAGAGAAGGCCACTTCAACTTTGTGTGAATAAAGGCAAGGCCCACAAAAGTGAGAATGCTATGTTGCTACTCTGCAATGACAGATAGCAAAAGATGCTCTAACAGCCCTAGATATTAACGCACAAACCCAGAAATCAACTACAAAGAAGTTTTTATAAAATATCATTTTCCTGTGAGCGGGGACAGAAACCCAACGCAGCACAGCCGATCCAAAGAGATGCTGCTTGATGCAACCATGCAAACCCTTAGCAGCTGCATGAGAGAGTCAGCACTGGCAAATCACAACCCACCTCATGAAGGAATGAGAATTGGGAGGAGAAGGAGGCACTTCTGTATCATCCAGGTACTGCTGGCTCTGTCCATAGGCATAGAACCGAGGGGACAGCATGGGATCGCTGTCCTCGTCCAGAAGCTGGCGAATCAAGCGCCCGGCCTGCGGGGAAAGGCGAGCCTCATCTGAGTCTAAGCCGTCTCGCTGCCATGAGGAGAGAGCAGGGATGGGCTCTGGGAACAGTAAGACAAAGGCTGGTTTTATCAGGTTTGTTTTATACACAAGACAGACTCCAGGTAACTTTCTAATGAACCTTGACCTGCTCGTCCTGGACTGTGACTCTTGTCACCAGGCATTCTCTGGTCACTACTCCCATCTGCCCTGTGTGTAAACCATTACAAAGCCTGGCCACAGCAGGGAACCTACACAAATATAAGTCATCTCTTTGGTGCAATAGAAAACTACCCAAAGGCTGACCAGGAATTACCATGGACTGACACCAAGCAAGGCAATCGCCAGCTAGCACCTTTGAGGGAAAAGTTATGCTGGACAAAGAGCATTACTGGCACATGGCATATATATAGCAGAGGCAATTGGATTCCAGAAGAATTTTTTTTTCACTTTCAGGATGTACAAACGCTGTAAATGAATAGTGTATTAATGGCTCTCCTATAGGCCCCCCTGTTGCCTGTTACTAGAAATTCAAAGCCTAGGAGTAAGCATAGGTTCTTCTAATCTGCAAGGAAAAGGTGTCCCACATTACCACCTGTTCCACAGGGTGCCCAGCCCACATATTAACAATTATAGTAACATGGTCTGAGTTTCCCCTTTACCCTTTCACATGCAATCCTGCTTGCAGTATGGTAGAAAAGAGAGGAAATCTTCAGCCCCCTGGACAACATAACCAGCCAGAAGCAAAAGCAATGTTGTACAGGAGGTGGTAGAGTAGGAGAGAAAGGGAAACCCAATTTAGCACTGCTGATTAGCATAATAGAGCCCATAGAAAGCAATCGCCTCAATCTTGTGATCACTCCCTCCAGATGCCATAAGGAGTCTAACATTTTATGTTCAGATAGTTTACTAAGCTGATTTGCATGCTCCTACTTAAACTGTCTAATCCTGTGGTGCTAAGAGCCAGGCTTTGAACTTCTAAATCTAACAAATAGTTCCAGAGTCAAGTAACAAAACAAAAACCTTATAGAAAGCTCCCAGACCAGTCCCAGAGCTACGGACTAATTGTTTCCTGTGCCTCGTGTGTCTATTCTTCCTTCACACAGAGAGGGGGCTTTTGAACTTATCAGTTTATGAATAAAAAGCAGTATTTCCTTTTGCTGAAGAAGGTCAGCATTTTCACAGCTCAGAGTGGATTGCATGAGGATTCCCCTGCAGAACCTGTGTGCTGTTTAACATTCCCCCTCTGTACAATTCAGGCAGTGCGAGAGCATCGCCAATGCAGCAGCTTGGGCACGGGCTCAGTGCTGTTTTGCTTGTGCACATCTTCCAATGATGCTCTCCTCCTTTTGCCTTCCTCCTTAGCACATGGATACAAATGGCATGCCTCTGCTTGGAGGGTGGTGCTGTGTGCACACTGATGTGCTGCCCTGAAGGGGTGACAGGAGGTTTTTGCACAAGATTCCTGCATAAGAGCCCCTCCAAGGTGCTGTGGTAAGAGAAGCACATACAAGCCTGGCTCACAGGGGCTGCTTCCATGGGATTTGCAAGCCCCAAGTGTAGGTAGGCTGTTTTGCCATGGTTTAGAAAGCTTAGGTAGCCTGAACTTCCTTTGGGTAATTTCTGAAAAGAGAGGTTTTCTAAGCTCTGTTCAGCCTTAGGTATTTTCTAATACCTGAAATATTTTGCATCCACTTCCCTGGATCTCTCACGATTTTAGGAAGGTTCTCACAAGATCTTTTGTAGCAAAATAAAGGGTAATACAAAGGGGAAAAAAATTATATATTTGACCAGCAGCAACAAGAGTTAAATGATGCATGAAATTCTTCTAGACATCTCTCATTTCTAATTGTTTGAATACCTCTGACCTGCAAACTGAATTTCCTCTTGGAAATTGTTAAGTAACACCTCCATGGGATTTACATAAATGGAATAAACTTAGAAAATTCAGGCATATTTAGCAGTAACTAAATTAAGCTCCTACCACACCAGCTAACAAAGCCATTATTAATCATGCATGATGTACGTGACTTTGTCCAAGGTGGATTTAAAACCAGATAGCATGCGACATTCAGGGAATTGCAATGGCTCAAAGAGCCTCTGATCAAACCTCAAAAGACAGCAAAGCACTTTATGTAACCTAATTGAGACTGTGGTGTGTCTACTTTGTATTTTGTTGATTTCAAAATATTCCCCCAAAACAGAAAACTCCCATTCCAAAGAAGAAAGTGTTAAAAAAGAGAATGAAAAAAAAGGCCCTAAAAGGAAAATAAAATTTGAGACTTGACAGAAGAAATGGCTGCTATAGAAAATCAGTTTTCTTTAACCCTTGCTCTTGGAAGGCCTGACTCCATGGCTAATTTTGTTTCCCCTGCTGACCATACACATTTAGAAGACAAAACCTCAACTAGACACAAAATGGCCAGACCCCTGAGAGCAACACAGCAATTCATCAAGGAACATATTTGGATATGTACAAATTACAAATTTTATCTACATCAGATCACTAAGTGGACCAGAGCTGCAGTCCAGTTGCCTTCTCTCTCCTGTTGGCCAGGAGCCAGGCCCTTCAGCTGGAACCACTGGAATTGCTGGATCACACAAACACACAGGAACCCACTAAGGGTAAACTACTGCTTTTTTTTCTGACAGTACACAATTAATTAATTCCTCTTTAACAGGATGCATAATATCTTTTGTTATTCATTTAGCCAAGATAGCTATCAAAGCACCAAGCTTTTTCTGAAGGCTGCTGAACTCCTGGACTGAATGGTTTTGAAGTATCTGCTATGAAGCCCAGTTTTAAAGCATCCACTATCATAATTAATGCTGTCAGCCTTTCCTCTTCCTGCTAACTGAAGAACAAAATGTCAATAGGGATTGTAAACATTTCACCTTTTCTTTGCCACTGACTTGACAGAGCAGGTACACTAACTCCTCTTATGTCTCCTGCTCAGGGAAAAAATCTCAGTTTTCAACTCATCTTCACCTTCTTTCCATGTACTATCCCCACTCCCATTTTCCAGAATGACAGCTTTTCATGGGAAAAAAACAAAGGAAAAAAGAAGAGGGAAATATTTGGCCATCATGGCTGTAACCACTGCAGAGAAAGGGTGAAAAATTTTTTAATGCCTTGGTCAGACTCTCTAGGCATTTCTTCTAGGCATGCCTTTTCTAAGCTGGCACAGAAGCAGTGAACTGTATTGCTAGTGAGGCTGCAGTCCTTCAGAAGCGCTGCCCTCCCTCTCAAAATCCCACAGCCAGCTCATCTCTGCACAAAGCTGTCAGCCATCTGCCAGGTGTGGCTCTGCAGAGCTCCACAGGCACACAGAGCATTGCCTATGGCAGCACAACCCCTCTGCCAACCTGCTGCATAGAGGGCTGGGGAGTTTAATAAACGTGAACCATGAAGTGCTTCACACAAGAAGAAAGATTTATTGTATCAAACTGGTGTATTGTTGGTGAGCTCCAAGCCATCTTGCTGACAAAACCTGTCTTTTTTTATCACTACATTGTGTATTGGCCACAGGGTTACTGGGGGCTGCAGGGCCAACAGGGGGTGTCTGCACACAAATACCACTTGAGGTACAGCCAGCAAAACACCACAGGCACCTCCTGTTTCCCTCTCTGCAGCCACACAGCTCATACATGCTGCTAACACTGCTTTTACACACCATGTGTCAAACAAATGAGGCCAAACCTTAGCTACTGTCAATTGAAGTAAGTCCAGAGGGATTGAAAAGTCTAAACACATTATAACACCTGAGGTGCTAGTATCAAATGCCACTTGAAATAATCCAGAAAGACCTCTCATAATGAAATGAATAAAGTAATTTAAATCTCCATCCAAAGCATTCACTAGCTCAGTAACAACCTATTTTCATCTTATAAATAACTATGAAAATATGCTTGTTTGAATACATCAGCAGGCATTCTTCCTACATAGATCAAAAGAATAGCCCAAATACAGCCCTACCACACCTCTTCACTCAGTGAGATGACACATCTCTCAGCTAGCAAGCAAACTTTGTATTTTGCTTATAGAATGGCATAACAATCAAAAAACCAATGTTAATATTTTGATGCTAGTCAGTAAACAGTGAAATTTTTTTATACTTAGCAATAAAAATAGAATGTGCCTCAGCCCCTTTTCATTTCTCGTGCTAAAGAGTGTTACACACAAATAAACTGATCAATCTAAGTCCACAGTGTTGAAAAAGAGAAAGCTAAGTTCAGCTTCCCTTCTGCTATACTATATGGATTTTTTCTGCATTACTCTGGGTTTTTTCCATGGGAAAGTATCAATTAAGTCAGTGTCAAAACTATTTGTAAATCAGCTTCACCCTCAGGGCGTCAAGTGCTGCAATACTTGAACTCAAATTGTGTTTTTAACTTCTGCTTTTGTTTTTATTTTTAAACTTGAAGAAAAATGCCAGCTGATTGTTTCATAAGATCTTGTTACTGCAAATTCTGCTCGAAATCTCAGCTACAGAACTTTTTTCAAGTGTCAGTAATTGGGTGACATCAGCAGCCATCACACATCATATTGATTTCCTGAGCTGCCTGCTGACAGGGCCAGCCGCTGCTATGGAGAGCAACATACTTCCAGATTTTCCTTGAGGACAGGATAGCAAGTTCTGGGCTTGAATTAGAAACATTTGGTGAGAAATCTGCACAACAGTGCTGGCCTGTGAGAGAACACTCTGTTCCCCTCAGTCACTGCACTGATTCAAACGTAATCCACAACAATCAGAAATCTTTAGCTGTGGAAGCAGCCCTGGACATGCCTGCTCCCAAAGCCATCTCAGCTCAGCAGGCAAACCCAGCAGTCAGATGGGACATCCCAGCTCACAGGGAGGGACAGTCCACATCCAGGGCAATAAAACTCCCTGATCCACAACTGCCAAGTGCACACCAGGAAAACAGTCTTGGACCATGGGAAATGCACTGAGGCAAGGAGTTCAGAGCTTGAATTTGGCTGGGGCACTGCTCACGCCCTGAGCACTGCATCAACAGCCTGATGATTCCTACACAAGCCTCTATACTTAGCAGGTGAGTGGGATGCAGAAGGTGGGCACATGGCAAAGTGTGAGGCTGCATTGCAGGGAGCAGGAAGAAAATGTCTCTGTCCTCTCTGTGCTCAGCTTTAGGTAAAGGGAACACAGCCTGGAGAAGTACAGCCAATCTCTCTTGTGTACAGACTTGACTATGAGATTAAAGTTATGGGGGGAAAAAAATTAGTAGAAATTACTTCTAGTGTAACATGAAGGGCGCAGGGCCTGCCAGCTCACCTGGCAGCAGTTCTCATAGTTCTATGCCCCTGAATGAGGGCTTTTAAGGCAGCTCTGCTCTTCAAATGATGGAGAGCCTGTCTGAGTGACAAATAAAATCCAGTCAATGGACAAGGCTGTCTTGTGTAATTTTGTGCCCATTGTTGAAGGCTCTTTCCTAACATTTGACTGGAGGCAGTGACAGCTACAGCTGAAGGCAAGTCCTCAACCTGTAATTGTTCTCACACATCCCTTGTGCAAGTCCCAGCAGTTGCCCTGGTCACTGGATGGTCTGTATGTCCATCACCCCTAACATCAGCTCAACTATGTCCTGAAAGAATGGGTAATTTCCTAAGAAATGGACCTACCACATTTGCTAGAGCAAAGCAATAAACAGCTCAGTGTTAGGACATTTGAAGGCATAGCCTTTAATTTCTCTTTTTCATTGGGGATGCAACCAGAGCTGTGGCATGGATCCTGCAGAGATGTGTGAAGGTTTGAGTGACTTGGGCTGGCAGGTAAGGAAAGGGAGGATGGATGTCCTTGTTAAGGTGTGGATGGGTGGTACAACCCTGCCCTGCAAAGCCAGTCTCAACAACAGACTCTGCTGTTAGCTGCAGAAGCAGTCTGAGAGTTGATGTTAAGATATTCCTCTTTCTGGCTGCTGCAAGCTTGATTCCATATCCACAGCTAGGAAAGACTTAGTGTGTCCTTGCTGAGACACAGAAGGCACCATTTTGCTGCTGTTCACCACACCAACAAAATGGTGACTCTGGAAGGCACGCATTTCAGGGGATGATGTCTCTCTCACCCCAGACAGCTGATTCTTTTGCAACTGCCCACCTCCTCCTCCTGCGAAATACACGTGAACAGAAGGAGAAAGGAGCAATCAGAGAGAAGCACAGTCACATGTGCCCATAATCCTGCGTCATATTTGCAGGGCAAAAGAGAGCTAGAATCCAAACATAAGAGAGTGCCTACTAAGAAGGAGTTGCACCAAAGAAGCAACTTATTTCATACAATGGGAAAGCCTTGGCAGGCAGACTGGAGCTGTGTACTCCCCTTCATGTGTTCATATGACTCCTATTAGTAATGCAGGAAGGAAAAAAAAGTCATTATTCCCCAAGGTTCACAGAAGGGCCGAAGCCACACATCACCTCTGAGAACACAGACGTGCTCCCCCTGGCTTGAGACCGTGCAGGGCTCTGCTAATTGGCCCCTCAGTAAACATCCAGCAGCCAGGGCTGCCTGGGAGCCCTTCTGTGACACTTTGATCAGCCTGCTGCATGTGTGGTGATTCCACACAGGGAATCCCCACCTAGCAAGCAAATGGAAAAATTCCCTCCTGTGCATGGTGTCTGCTTGTCTGGCTCAATCAAAGGCAGCCATGGCTGTGGGTTTTCTTTACTTGCACCTGAAGTGTCATAACTACTCACCTCCTAGAGAGAAAGGCAAAACATACTAGGTCACGTACACTGGGGAGGCAGGAGCAGAGAACTTCCCTTCTCAGTGTTCCTCAGAGATTATTGTTTTAGAGCAATGAATTAGTTGCACATTTTCCCTCCCTTGCTTTATTAAAACACCACACTGTGTTTTCCTGCTTCTTCACTGTCAAAACCTTTCACTCCTAAAGCATAAACTAATAGAACAACTCTGGCTTGTACACAGATGCATACTGTGTAACTAGAAAAGAGTCTGATCCCAAAACTACTGGACACCTTAATTTCATCTCAATTTCAAATGAAATTAAGGTCATGGCACCCACAGAGTTTGCCCAGATTCCCACTCTTAAATGAGTAAGTGTATAGCCAACCAAGCATGTACTCTGCAGAGGAGAGCTAAGAAATAGTATTACTGCAATTTATATGACATACAATCAATTTAACACTGCCATTTAAGCTGGTCATCAGAATTCCTTCACAACATACACAAAAAAAAAGTTGTTTGTAAGACAAAGTAACAGACAGACAGCATTTTCTACCAGCTGCGCTTTTCAGGTGTGAATCATTATTTCCAAACAGAGATCGAAGAAAAGTTCTTTTTAGACTCTGAAATACCCAGTTGCTTTGAAGTGTAGGGCAGTCTAGTTTAATTATCACTGACCAGCCACTAAGAAATAAGGTATCTTGAAATCCTCAGAGACTTAACAGTACTAAACAGAACATGAAAGTAACTTCAAGAATAAAACATTTAATTTTCCACCTCTAAGTGACAATCAGAGTTAGTACCATTCAGTATTTGCTTCCAGTTTCTGCAAACTTTCAGTTCTATATTCAGGACAAAGTTGTTTTTCTATAGTTTTTAGCAAGGGAACATGATCACATAAAGATACACCCAGCCCACTGAGGTTTCCCTCTCTCCCATTTCACTCACACAATTCCAGCCCATCACACAATCCTACCTTCCCAGTTGTTGTCATCGCACAGTGATGTTAAATCCAGCCGAGGCACTTCAGATACAAAGCTGCTTTCCTGATCATCAGCATCTTGATTTCTTTGCAACTTGTTTTCAGGCATGCTTGGATGTTCTTGAATCTTCATACTTGAAGTCAGCTATGTTCCCATACACCCAAGGAAATGAGAGAGAAAGGAAAAAAAAAAAGAGTCTCAGGATGCAGTGGGGGGAAAAAACCCCTGCAAGTCACAGCAGCAGTAAGCTCATGCCTTTAGCTAAAAAGATCCAAACAGACCCTGCTGCTTCCAGCTCCAAATCCAAATCCCTTGCTTGGTGACCCCTGTGTACTAATTGCCCACTCACACCAGTAAAAACATCCGTCCATCTGCCTTCCTTGAATTTTTCCTTCTTTAGGAAGCTCCTGCAAGTTCCTGAGACTGTCTGCCCTGACAACTGCATGCAGCTGAGAAAGCCTCCAGCAGTGGAGTGGGATGAAGTGGGAGGGAGGGAGGCAGGGAGAAAGGGAGGGGGTGGCTGCGTACACTTCCTACAGGAGCGCAACTCCTTCGAGCAGCAACAAAAACGCTGCTGCTGCTGCTGCTGCTGTGAGGCTGTGTCAATATGGTGCCTCCTAAAAAGCAGGCACCAGAGCTCCCGAGGCAGCAGCCGCAGCCAGCCTGCAGCGCGGGCTACGTACATGAATGCTCTCATGCAGGCTGTGCTGGCTCAGATCAATTAGTGCCAGCTAAGCTCTGCTGGCTGCACATTCCCCGATTTCCTGTGGTTGTTTTCTAGCTGGGCGTGGGGAGAGCAGAACTATTTATGGAGGAGCTCTGGGTATTAAAGCGGTGTTGCGCAAATCCAAACAGCAGCAGGGTTTGGCATCTCAGCTGGAAGCAGTGTGGACTCTGGGAAAACGCCAAAAAATTCTCAGAAGCATCCAGTAACAGGGACAAAAAACCCAAAAAAAAGCAGAATTCTGTCAAGTACATGATTCATCAGCTAGCAGTACCTAGAAGCAGTTGCTGCTTGTCTGAGCACTGTTCCCCCTGCACATAGCACACGTCGTGTGTGTTTATGCAGAAATCCCTGCCAGTCCCACAATCCAGGGACACAGTGCGCGTGCCTGTGACAGCGCCCGATGAGAGCGCTTCTGGCACTCCAAAATAAATTAGCTGTAATGCCTCACAGAGGGCAGTAGGGAAAAGGAAGTGTAGTGCATGTACATAAACATGTAGTGTGATATGTATAAACCCACCAACAAACACGGAGCTAGATGAATAGACAGGATTATGTTACTACATAAACTATTTGGATTTGTTAAGAACAGCTTAGGCATAATTCTCTCAAATATAGTCTAGTGGGCAGCCAGCATGCAGATTTTCCCTCTGTAAACCTAGTAAACAATCTGTAGATTCTGATCTGGGAAGAAAACAGGCCAAAAAAAAAAAAACCAGCATTTCTGAACCTATTTCCCTTATGAATCCAGAAGCACAGCCAAATGCTTCAATATCCTTAGTACATGCCACTAAGGCATGTTTACTTTTTTTCATCTGCAGAAAGCTAATAATGTGTTTGGTGCATCTCTTCCCTTTTAAGCAGAGAAAAACAAGTAACTTTCAGGAAAAGGGAAAAAAGTTGCGTAGTAGACAAATCATATGAATAAAAGTTTTCATCTGGATTCAGTTCCATCAATCCCTGCAATTGAACAGGGTACTAAATAATCTCATCTAGGCTTTCTTTCCCACAAAGTGTTGGATCAGGTGATCTTTTGAGGTCTCTTTCAACATGGGCTGTTTTACTGTTCTAAAAATCTGATGAATACCCTGGTATTTGTAAAGAGTGTTCTGCATTGTATTTGTGTAAGGTGTGTATTTCCTGTTCATTTCAATAAATGGCCTTTTTGAGACATTATAACAAAATGAAACACTAGATGATACTTTGCCAAGCACTAATAACTCATGCAGCTTGATGCTAAATATGATTACAAACGTGTTTATTGTGAGAGCTGTGCGTGGAAAAATGCTAATTCACCATTCAGTATCTTTTAAGCTACTTCCAGGTTGGGAGGACTTAAATATTTCTCTAAGGTCCATTGACAAATTTCCTGCCAGGATTTAAATAGTCTGTGTACTCACAAACAAAGACTGGTCAGTGGCCAAATGTACCAGTTGATAAACGGCTTGTAAATTGCCAGCACAGTATTTAAAGGTTATATTTTAAGGCAAGGAAAGAAATAAAGCACTGAGTTTCAAAACAGGTGCTATTTTTAATAACAAAGAAGTGTGAAGGAGAGGAACATACCTAGATTTTTAACAATTTCAAAGGGAGCAACCTGAGAATGCCATCTCATCACCACCACTGATACTAATTAGAGATAAATGTCTTTCTACGAAGGATGTACAATCTCCTGACTTATTAAGGCTCTTAAAAGATATCTGTAGCAGATATAAGGGCACTTCCCAGATAGGCAAACATTTCCATTACACATACATTAGAAAGATCATACCGATGCCTTCTTCCTCCTGAAGTCATTTCAGTAACTGGAAATATTTAAAAGGTGTGTAAAACCAGGCCTGTGCCCTTCCTGCAGCCAGTTCCTCTCCTTTCCTTGCTCACTGATGTAGGCTCTAATACAATGAATAAATCATTAGGTGTTCTGAAGAACAATGGTGGTACAAACCCAGGAGACTCAAGAAAGCAGATGTTTAACTTCCTTTGCATTAATGCTCCAAACCAATAGAGTGGTAGATAATTCAGTATTCCCATCACTTATTTTCTGTTTTGATTTCCTGACACCACCAGCTGCCACTCTCTAGGAAAAGAATCGAGTAAGGGAGAACTACTTTGCTTTAGGTATGGATGCACCACAATTTCTTACAAATCAAAGGGGCAGCAAGTTGATGATTTTGGTAACAGCTGGCAGCCACAGTTCACTGCAGATATTACATAAATGACCACAAAAAATATTCAAAGCAGGTACTAGAATTCTGCTTTTTAGAAGCTGCTTCTGCAGCCATGCTTTGCAGGCACCAGTAACTACAGATCTCAGCAGCCTGGGGATAAGTCAGCTGCACTCATTCTCCCTGCTCCAATGGAGATTGAGCACAAAGAGCAGCTCAAACAGCAAGAAATAAATGGCAACAGAAAGACTTTTAAATTCTGATCAGGAGGTTGTATTCTGTTCAATTACATGTGGATTCCAATCAACTCTACATAAAAGGCTTGCTTCCCCCACATGTGATTTTCCATTCCAGCCACAAGCAGGAAGCATCCTTAAGCACATTTTAGGGATACAACCTGATGCAAGAACACAGCCATTCTGCTGCCTTCCTCCTACCTGAGTCATGCCAACACCCTTCTACACTTGCTGCCATGTTGGTATGAATCTTAAATACTACTCCCTTATCAAAACCTGGGTACTAGAAACCTGTGGCTTTCCTCCTGGAACTTAGCTACTTCCAAGAGCAGATTACAAAAGTTACAAAACCACTGAAAATTCATTTGAGGCTTGTGTTTCAAGGTATTTTTACAGTCTCATGGAGAACCAAATCAGCAAAACTGGTAACTATAGCAAATTCCAAATCCTTTTCCTATTAGCTTTACACTGGAGGCAGGGTGAGAAACAGAAAAGAATAAGAACCTTGTCCCTTCCTCAACCTGAATGAGTTGTTTGTTATGAAATGTATGTGTTTAAGCTGCCCTAAGCAAAAAGCTTATAAGTGGCAAGGAATGTAAAACAACTCTGCTGGAATGTAACATTTTCTTGACCTTGTAATTCCTATATAATACACAATCTCTGGTTAAGATCCTCTCTTGCCGTTAAAATTTTACACTTTAAAAGTTTTCCTAAGGTGTAGTTTCTTTTAAGGTTATGATTTCATATTTCAATGTATCTCCACCAGGCTAACTGAAAAGCTTTTTAGGAGTATTGCACGGCATGGCAGCAACAGCAGCTTTTCCACATGCAAGTGGGTATGTGAGGAACAAGCTGTTGCAAAATCCCAGCTCTGGAAAATACAACAGCTCACGAGCAAGTGCAAGGGATTACTGACCCTCTGGGAGCAAAGTAGGAGATCCATGTTAGCCCAGCCAGAGCAGTGATCAAAGGCAGCTCTGAACACCCTCTGCAGGGGCTACATATTTCAGGGTCCAAGAACTTTCACCAGCTACCACAGAGCTGATCAGAGCTCAGCTGTTAGCAACCTTTTACCTTCCGTGCTAGGTGGAGATAATTCCTACCAGAAATGAAGTCTTTCAAAACAATAAATGCATAGTGGCTTTTAGTTTTAAAAGAAACACAAGAAGAGTCTAATTTAAAAGTATTACCAGCCTTCAGTCAACTCCTGACAGCCAGAGGAATCAGACAATGGCTACAGCTGCTTTACTGTGCCCATTTGAAATGGATACACAACTGAGGGAGAGGTGCCTCAGATAACTCTCCCCAGTATTTTAAATGCTTGGCTGTCAAGAGGTTTTTAAGCAAACCCAAATGAACCAGTGACTGCAAAGGGGTTCAACCTAACTCAACCTCAATCTTTGAAAACACCATAAAGCTAGTGGAAGAAATGTTTGTTTGTTTGTTTGTGTGTGTGTGTGTGTGTGTGTGCAAAAGAAATTAAAAGTTGGGGGAAAAACTGCTGCCATCAACATCACATCTCCTCTCCTGACATCCATCCCAGCCATCAACTTAGAAAGAAGCAGGAGGTGATCCAGTTTGCTAAAACAAACGGATTACAGACACCTATGTTCAAGAGCAATAGGCTGCAGTAGGAAATGATAAATAAAAGGCCAAATGATTTTAGAGAAATCAAGAGAGACAAGCTAATCTTACTACCCTGGCAGATAAGTCAGATGTCCTCTCTGCCATAATTAATAAGGGAACTTCATGTCACTTAAACCACAGCGCTGACTTCAGTGATCCTTCCCTTTTTGGCAAGGAGGGATCAAAGGGATTGAAACAGAAGCTGTCAGACTCCCCAGTGGTTGAGAGGCTCCTTAAACTATGTAAAAAAGCAGGGGTAAGGGACAGAAAAAGTACATGCTAACTCCATTTCTCTTGTGAAAAACAAAACTATATGCATAACTACTTGTTTCTGCTCAATAAAACGCTCATTTAGAGACCACAAAACTGAAACACAAAAACAGCAACAGAAAAAATACTAACCTGAGAATGCCTCAAAAAAACCTCATCGTTTTCACTCTCTTTGCTATAAAAAAAAAAACAAAAACAAACCAACATATTACAAACACAAAACCAGACTTGTCTTGTAACAAAAACAAGCAGGACTTCTGCACGCAAAGGTTTTTACATTCTTGCTACTCCTGCACACTCACTAATTCACACAGTAAATGAAGGGACTCTCTGGGCTGCAGCACTTCCAGCTGCTAAAGTTTGCATTTTTTTGCTTCCTCTCAGGAGCTACTTGAGAACAATTAGGTAATTTAATTCCAATGCCCTTAATTCAAACCTATCCCAACAAATGTAATTGTTGAGAGAAATTGTCATCTCAGGTGAGCAGAGTGAGGCTGCACAGCTCTCACAGAACAGTGAAGCTCAAGGGAAAGGGCTGGATTCCCAACTCAGAGGCCAGGTGAGACAGGCCCTGCATTCCTGTGTGCAGCAGCACTGGTTCAGGTGCTCCACAGCTCATTTCTTTTCAAGTCTGCACCATCAGCACCTTCAGTGACATTCCTATCAGGCTGGGAAAAGAGCCTTGGTGGCATTTGCTGCAGGGCAAGCCCACACAACACACACAGTGCCTCCATGAAGCTCTGCTTGGAAGTTAACATGGTGGGTATCTGTTCTTTGGCATACATGTCACCCCCACGGCTTGGGTGGGAGATTTCTCAAGCTGTACTACAACCACAGGGAAAGGAAAACATATAAATACAGAAAATAAGATTAAAATCACCTTTCTTCAGATAAAATTTCCATGTCATCAGATCCTGTTCTGTCTATAGGCTTGGATGAGCTAAAGTTTTCCACACTCTGCAATACAGTAAATATTAAAGCAGTAAGATATATATGAGAAACAGATTCAAGCTGCAGGCCATTAAACAGATCAAATACACAAAGATCCACCAGGATTTCTAGGAAAAAGGTAACACTCACACTACTGCCCACTGCACTAAACAAACCCCACACTTTATTGCCCATAAACTGCAAGAAAACCCAACTGCTCACTGCTTTGTCTCTTTCATCAGACAACCTCAAATGTCAGAACAGAATAAAGCTGCATGGTACCTTGGCAGCTCCCATTTTACAGATTGACAGACAGCCTAGGCTTGGGAGCAATTCTTTGGTCTGTGCACCTCCTGTAAGAGCAGGCAGCAAAATCCACAGAAACCTCTCAGCAGAACTCCTTTATGTTCATGTTAGAAAATCCTCCACTTCTCAGCCAAACCCTTCCTTAGTTTCTTCTTAAACAGGCATAAGAATGAAAAGAGACTGCACAGATGTAATGCTGGGCTAATATGAAAGCAGAGCAAACAATCCAACTGGTTATGACCTCATGCTCTGAGATTTGTCTTGGCCACCATTAAGAACATTAACACTGTTGAGTACGGTGAGGACAAGCCATGTGGCCACTTCGAGCACGTGTCAAGGAGGCTTCTACCCTGGGTTTTGGGCAAGTCCCTCTAAAATAGAAGGAAGTGGGTTTCTGCCCAGGAAACTACATGTAGAGACTTCTTGGGGCAGCCTTCTCTCATCTGCTACACCTCCAGCCCCATGTGGTGACACAGGTCAGTCATTCCAGCCTTGCCTAATTTGATTCTTGGAGTCCTACTGATACCTGGCTAGCATGTCCCTAAAATGCAGTTACAAGCTTTTAATGCTTTGTGGTTGGTTTGCTTGGGAGTCTAAGTGGAGCTGACAGTTTCTCCACTGCTGACTTGTGCTTTTGAGCCAGATGCAATCAGACAGCTCAGAGGAAAGCTTCCCCACAGTGTCCTACATACTCTTTCAGGCTTTGAAAAAAAGGAATACTCAGAAAAGGGTGTTTAAGGGGAGACAACATCACGAACCTCTTTACATGACAAAGGCCTATTAGTAAATGCTAAGGTGCATGTTATGTTATAATCCAAGTAGGTAGCCTAATTGGGGTTGTTATTTGATGTATAAAGGTGTAGCCAAAAGAAAGCTAAACCATCACACATCATTCTGGCAGTCTCTGAAATGCAAGTATGTAATAAACATACTCATTAAAACTTAAAAAGCAGCTTCTGCTCTGCCAAAACAATAGCACCATGCTCTCTGCAAGATGTTTCATAATGATACTTGCAGTTATCATCCCACTTTGACATTTCCTACAGCAGAGCAAGCAAGAACTGCTGGTCATCTTGGGCAACATGCTTTTAATACAAGATTAATTTCACACTCCTTTCAGCCTTTGCCCTTCAAGAGATCAAAAAATGAGGGGAAGGGTAAAGTCCAGTGGACACAGCTAAGTTTGAGGACATTTCTTCTGGGCACAGTTGAAGACTTCATGAATGCTTTTCAGGCCTGCAGCGAAAGTGGACACTTCCATCAGTACTTATTTCTTAAATCCTGATAAAAACTCTCATTTACATTGAAACTGCTTTAGACTCCACAGGCACAGAGAAAAAGTGATGAAAAGATCATAAGTACTACACCTTTGCCTATCTCAAAGTGCATTGCTACAAGCAAAGACAGAAGTGTGAATGTGTCTGTCTCACTCTGCTTTCATGAAGTATCACATGGGAAGATTGTGGATACTGAGCACTAAATTTAAGTTACTAAATTGAGCATAGTGTACAATTTTTGGCATCTTGCCGTCTTTTGATCATAATGAAATGCAAATCCACCTCTCTCTAGAATCTCTGCACAGGGTAAGAATATCAGATCATTGCAATTTTGTGATCTAAACAAAATGAGTCCAAACACAGGTCACATTAAGAACTTGCTTTCAGCAGGCTCTACAACTTAATCAAGCATCACTGAAGGATATGCCCTATAGGTCAGGACAGCATTTTCACAGAGCTCTTGCTGTTCCTGTTAACCATGCAATGCATGCTTGGTGCAGGCTGCAGGCACAGCACTTCTGTCACTGCATGCAAACCCTGCACTGAAGCACAGTGAGGTTTCTCAGCTGCTGACACCCCCGTCAGTGTTTGCTCTGGCTGAGAGGGAAGGAAGGTGAACCAGTTTTATTTTACAGCTTGTAGAAGGAGGGAAACTGTCCTGGGAAGGTCACACAAAAATATGCAGGAAAAGTTCTACAGTATTCCAGATTTTTACAATGTTATAACAAAGCCGTTGATGTCTTCAGAAAAAAGTGGATAGAGGGATCACCTTTTGGACCAACACTTCAAAGTGCTTTCCAAATTGCAAGCACCACAGCAAAACACAGGCTTTAGGGAAATGGCATAAAATACTTTTGCCATCTCATTATCAAGTAGTCACTTGAAATCTAGTTTCAGAGCTTAGCAGGAATATGAAAATTAACTTGACGTGAACATGAGAACCTACATCTAAGGTTCAAACTCCTTGCAAGGCTTCTGAAAGACTGGGAAAAAGACCTCTGTCCTTTTATGCTTTCCAAAAAGTTTCACCAAATTCAAAAGCAAAAAGGGGCAGAAAGAGAAAATGACTACACATGGAGTATCACAGCAGAAATATGGCTTCTCAGTTGCCTCATCACAAGGGTTACAAGTGTCTGATCCAGTGTTTCCCATAGTCCAAAATAGACACCGAGGCTTGTACTGCAGGCAAAAATGACTACTTAAGGGAAGCAGGTGTGCACTGAAATAAAAAAAGAGCTTTTCCCATCCTAGTAACAGACATCAAATAGTGCAGTGTGCTGGCTTACCACAGGACTGTCCTGGTTGTCATTAAGCTCTGAGAGCTTGGTGCTGGATTTCTGCCGTTTTGATTTATTCCTTTCACTAAGGTATCCAGAGCTGGTGTCTTGTAATTTTTCTACATCTTGAGTAGCTAGAATACAATCTTCAAGACTGCTGAATCCAGAGGGAATGTTCTCCTTGTTGACAACTTCCCTAAAAAGAAAAGGGACATTACAGCAAGAGGTTGTTTAAAACACTCTCTCACTACATTTATGGTAGCAATAGAGAACTACATTATATGGGCTGGTGGAGTTCCAGCAACACCATCTATTCCCTATGAAACCACTATCTCTGGTTCTTCCCAATGCAGCCAAAAACACACACTGTGCAATGCTAAATCCCACTGAGGAGCACAAGCAAATTGCATACACCTCAGTTGAAAAAGCTGTGAGGATCCATGTTTGGGATTTAATACACTTGCCACTAAACCAAACACACAGAAGCCTTCACATGGAAGCTGGACTAGCCCCTGGCTGCCTGTGCAATTTTTATAGATAGTATGAAGCATATTTTCCTTTGAGACACAAGCTTTTAATTTAGAAAAGTGATTCACAGCTGTGGTCCAGGGATCTCCTTTGGTGCATGACAACGCATAATTGGCCCTCTTACTCATAACTCTCAAATGCAAGAGCAGGACTGGGTGGTGCTTTAGCCAAGTGCTTGATTTCTATTTGGGAATTACACAAAACATAAAAGGGAATGTACCTCTGCAATGGTAACACAACTGCCAGGATAGAGTTTTGCTGTGTTGGGAAGAGGATGGGACAGGCAGCCATAAGTCACCACGTGATGGACTCGCTGGGACTCTCTGGGCCTGCAGGGTTTGTGCATGCTTACCAGAAGCCTGGGATATGGCTATCTAGCCCTGCTGCATCCTTCAGCAGGCAGCTTTCCATTTGGAGGACTACTTAACCACTTGTTAAGTAGTCCTCCCTCTACTTTGCCCAGCAGTGAAGATGCACACACACATCACTACACATGGAGAAACACAAGGTGTCTCATTACCCTGCTTGCTCACACTTGACACTGAATCTAGAACATTTGCTAACTCTGTGTGGCTGTCTTACACAGTGCTGTGCAACTCCAAAGCCTGCTTTCATGAACAGCAGGAGAACTCATCTAGACTCGACTGGTGTGATAAGAAACCAGTTACTCTGCAGTATCTGGACAGTGCCAGCATGGCAAGTATTCAGAACAAAAACAAAACTAGAAGGTTCCAGTGACTTTCTAGACGATAGATCTCTAGGTTTTGTTGGTGGAAAAGCGATACAAAGAGGTATGATAAATCTCTGACTAAACTTCTAAGATAACACATTTGCCTTTGTGGAAGTTTTTACAAACCCTTCAGCAGACCAATTACACATTCAGAGCCTGTAGATCATTTAATCTTCAAAGCCTGGGAGTTCACCTATGTGATTTTGTGATAAACACTCTTCCTGCCTGTAGTCTCATTTTATGACATTACAAATCCTCTTGTGATCCATCCATCACAAGGCAAGGAGATGAAGTCACTAACAATCAAAAAAACAACAGAAAGACATTTTGAAAGGAATTCTCAATTTTGATAATTTACCCAGAGAAATCCCAGCAATCTGATCTAAGGGAACCAGGGAAAACAATCTGGACCACGGCCAGCACTCAAAACTTCCAATGTGCTTTAAATCCTTGGCTCCAGCTTTCTGGACTCAGCCTGAATGACTGTGTCAGTCATATCTAGAGGCAGCTCTGTAACTCAGTGCTGAAGAAAAGCCCTGCAGTACTATATGCTTCCGAACACGTACACTAGCCAGGCTCTGACCTACTTACCTGAGAAGCCTGTCAGCAGGGCTACTTAACAAGAAAAACTACTTTGGAGCTGCTGCCAGATACCTTGGTGACTTGCAAGAGCCAATTTCCCAGGCCACCTTTACAGTATATTTTGATTCACTGTGAAAATAGTGCCTTTTATTTTTTCTCTCTTTTTTTTTTTTTTTTTTGTAAGCACAGATTTTTTGTACAAGAGTAGCACTGACACATTTTGGGAACTACCACGGATGCAATATTAACATGAGGTATCAATGACTATGGACGTGTATAAAAGCAGCTTCATATAAGAAGGCACAGATCCAATAGAATTTGGGGAATTCAGCACCCAGGAAACAACAACAGGAGACTAAATGTTTATTTTGGAATCAACTTCAAATCCTAGCAATCCAATACTGCAGTGAGGCATACACATTCCTTACAAGAACTAGTGCTGTGTTACAGATAAACACATGAGTTGAACCTGATCTTGTCTGTGCCACAGTTTCTCCAATACAGCTGTGCCTTGTGTAACAAGTTGGTTAAAGCTGTGGTGGTAATACATTTGTACCACACAACAGATGTCACAACTAGAGGAGTATGAATGGAAAAACAGGTATTATCTTCACTCTTTGACAGACATTTAAGGAAATTCACTATTAAGTCATGCTTAAACTTGGTGTAATAGGGCAGATAAAAAAAATCTTAGATTCTGATTAATCAAAAGGAAGATTTTTCTAATTTCAGACAAACTCTCAAGTCTCCTCACTAAACCCAAATGCAAGCTGTGCCTCCACACACAAAAGTGGAACTTAATCTCATTTTTGAAGACATTCTGAATTCAGAAAAGCAGCTGAGCCCAATGTTTTTATCTAAAAAAAGTTAAAGGCAGCAGAGCCAACTTCTTAGGAAATTCCACTAATGCAACAAATACCATAAGTCACCAATTCCAAATACTGTAATTAAAACCTTGACTGCATAACCCCCCTAGATTCTTATCATGCTTTGCCCCACTGCATGATCTGGCAAACTCTACATTTCCCAGCTCTGACTGATGCAATGGAGCTCTGCATGGGCACTGCAGTCTGGGCAAAGGTCAGTGCCTTGATAAGAAGAAATGACTGGGGTAGACTTAAATATACTTTCCAAAACAAAGAAATCAGGCTCATACATGTCTCTGTTTCTCCGGGCTTCCTCCTGCTCTTTGTGGTGTCGCCTCCTCTGCCTGGCAGACACATTAGAAGAGGCTGAAGATGTCCCAGATTCAGAGTCCTCTGAACTCTGGCCGCCTGAGCCATGAACATCAAAGAGATGCTGCTCCACGGCTGAGCGGATTGTCTTCTCTAAATACCTGTCAAGCCGAAAAATAAGGTCAATTGAGCTCAAAGATTTTGTGGAGCTCCCTCTCTGCAACAATAAATAAAACAAGGGTATCTGTGGGGTATGTTTTCTTAGGATGGCAGCACAAAATGTTTCAGCGCTACGATATATGCAAAGAGCAATGCCAAAATCTTCAGATACCCGCTGGTTCAAGTCCCTCAGAATAGCTGAGCCTTCCCAATTAATATTGCTCATTTTATTTCTGGGAATGTCTGAAATTTCAGTAAAACATCTAATTTTACTTACTGCAACTACAGACATTGGCGCCTAACTTTCATCCTCCACTTAAAAACCCCTGCTGTGACAAAATTGCATTTGATACCCAGCCACGCTGACAAGGGTCAAGTCTGTTGTGCAAAACAAGCTCAGTAAGGCAATGGATCACCTGCAAGAAGATGATTCACTGCTGTCTCACAGAGGGATGACAATATGCAGTAGCTCACTGTGAACTCCTCCCATACATTGTGACCAAGCATGGGTTTTCTTCTGAGTTCATGCCATTTTACACATTCTTGGGCCACATTCTTGTGCATCCACAGCCACCCTGACACTGCTGTGAGACCACCCTCACACTCAATGGCACTGAGACAGCTTCCACAAGAGCCACCACAAGAGAGTCCCTGCAGTTGCATCAGTTAAAGGTGTGGGACTACTTGAACTTTCAACACAAATGAACTTTCAACACAAATGAATTTTTGATTTGGTACTGCCATTCTCTTGTAATATTCTTCGCTTCCTTCCTTCATCACAAAGAGATCATACAGAAACACATTTTTGTGTACATCCCCATCTCATCTCTGTTTCTCACAGTGCTTTAAGCAGTCACCGAAGAATGGGTTTTTCAAACTTGCATGTCCAAAGTCCATGTATGGCTTCTACTGTTTTTTCTATAATTAAAATATTATTTCAGGATTTGCTGGTTAATTTTCAACTGAGTAGCTACAGTATGGAAATCTGTGCTTGGGCTCATTTCTCCTTTACAAAAGCTGTGCTAAGTTGCTATACTTGAAAGCCTGCTGCGACTGCAGTCCTGGAAAAGTCAGAAGACCTTAGCGACTGCAAAAGCCCAGATGGTTTAACTAGACAAGTATGTCACTATTGACAAAGATCAGTTCTGCAAACCCATCAGCCATTGGGAATTCCCTGCTCCAGCAAAGGAGCCAACTCATTTTAGCTCTGCTCCTCCCAGTTACAGCAGTAGGGTCAGGTCACGTCCTCTGCTGGGATGCAATAGGGAGCAAACAAGAGCAAGAAGATGACAGGGTGCAAAAAACTTCTCAAAATACGCAAGTTCTGCCTAAGCAAAACATCACAGGCACAGTGAGCAAAGAACCAAGGGCCTGAGAAGTTTTCAGGAGGAAGTGATTTATTATCATTGTAGATTAAGTGCTTTGGGAAACAGTGTCTCTTTATTTGTTTATGTAAGAACAACTCTTAAAGAGAAATCAAAGAATAACCAGCAATACTTTAAAAAGCTCCAAGAAAGATAGCTTGTTTTAGATTGTAGATTGTAAAAGACACTTACTCTTCTGTAGCAGGAACATTGCTACTGACTTGTGATACGTGGGTACTGTACAAAAGAAAACAAAAAAGAAAAGAAAGATCTTAATATCAAAATAAGGTCTTAAAACTTCTTGCTCTTTGCAGTGCGAAGATTCAAAGGTCTGAGCTGTCTCAACAACAACTGTGTACACAGGTCACAGGTTTTCCCTTTAAGGAATTTTCATTCCCACTGTGACGTGGCATATTTTGACAAGTCAATATCCTCAACAATTAATTTCCCCGTCATTCCCATGAAATAGGCAAAGGTCTAAGAGCAAGTGTTTCAACCTCAACACGTTACATTTTTTTTTTTTTTGTGGGCTTTCTGCTGATGATGTTTTATTTTCATGACAACCGTCCTTGTCTTTTGAAGCTGACTTGAAAATATATTCATTTAATATTTAACTGCTCTCTCTGTTTAACTATTCTCTCTTTGAACATGCTCAAAGAACACATCCATATTCCTTGCTTCACATTTTAAAAAATAAAATCTATGCATGCTTCTCTGGTTTTTACCTCAGTCTGTTATCAGGCTCAGGAAGAGCTGACACAAATGTAGATGTTATCACTTGCTGTTCAGAGCCCTTCTGAACAAGCTGACCTGGCACAGGTGTCACTCTTTCTTCCTTCTGCCAAGCTGAGTCCCATCCTGCCCCTTCTTCATCCACCGGCTCAGCTGACTCAGCCTTGCAGATAAGGTGACACTGCCTTTTCATCCTTCCTCTGACCTCCCTTAAGTCAAATAAACTACAGGCCTAGGGGTTTCATTTCAAATTATCCCCGTATCAGCTGAGTACAGCTGGCTGATAAATCCCAGTAAAATGTGGTCAGGGTACAAAAGCCAAGCTGGATGCAAGATGTTCTTCCTGCCAAAAACCCACTCATGGTTTTCAGTCTTCACCAGTTTCTCTCAAATAATTTCATTGCAGAGCCATCAACAGCTGATTTGCCTTTGCTACCCAAAGGTTTTCTCTCTGCTTCCCCTGAATACTTTGCACTTCACTGTATGGGGCTGGAGCCAGCTAAGAAGCCGCAGCTCTCTCAGATAACCACTCTGTGGCTTTACTGGCTTGAGTGTCCCTTGGGCAGAAGGCAGGCAACAGAGGAAGAGAAGGATAAATGAGGGGCCACTACAGCTAGTTTAACAAAAGCCACAAAGCAGTGTGACTCCTCCCCACAAACACCCAGCTGCAAATCACACTTGCAGCGTGCTTCAGGCTGAGCTGGTGTGCTCACCTGGCTCTAACCACACACACACATCCTTGCCAGTCCCAGCCTCAGTGCTACTCTCCAGCCCCAGCACAGGTCACTGGAGCACACCAGGAAAGCAGCCATGGACTTGCCAATATGTTCCACATTACCTGAGCAGGACCTTAGCAGTTGTGCCATGCAGATCATTTCATGATGACATGCAAACAATTATTACTGTACCTATTATTACAGATAAAATACCTCCATACAGGAAACAAAATTTGCAAGATCACACTCTTCCCACATCTAACATCTTGACTATCAACCACAGGATGGCATTTGAATTTGAAGTGCACATTTCAAGCTCCCTACTTGCTTTCTGGTTTGCTTACAGGAACTATGTGGCCTCTTCCCAGACCAAAACTATTTCTTAAGACCTGGATGTTAACATATCTCCCATGGAGACATATTAACAAGTAAGGTGCCACTGTGCTAATTTGGGCTAATCCACATTGTAAGACACAATTCATGTGCTTGCTACAGCTCCTACACCCATGGAAGTATATTAATGCTGTATCACCTTTTTATAGTATTACATGCAAGCCAAACTGAGTGAGGCTGTCTTTCATATCATACTTTTCTTCTCTGTTTTCATGCCAGGAAAGTGATACTAGAGAGGAAGAAAGGATTGTTTGGATTTTAGCTTTTTAAAACATTCATAGGATATAGGTTTATTTATTTCTACCAATACAATTTTTTCTAACACCCAGTATATTCTAATTCACTGTGTGCTTTAGTTAGTTAGTTAGTTAACTACTTAGTTAACTGTGTGCTTTACTAACACCAATTCATTTTAAGTATATTAACCTATGTTGTAATGATGCATAACAATTAATTTCCTGTATCTAGGAAAGCCCTATTCAGGCAATACAGATTCTGTAAGAAATACAGTAACATGGTGATTTTCAAACTACTGACAAATAACAAGGAAATATATATCCTATACATGCCAGCTGAGTGGATGACTACAAAATGAAGCTCTGATATTCTGATTTTATTGTACTGAATCCAAGCTTATTCTTAGCTCTGTGCTAAGTTAATGCTCTTTTATTAGCCCCCTCTCAATAAGACAGAGATTTTAAATCAGAGTTTTTCTAGGTACACTAACTTTCTTTTAATTCCACAGTTGGCAACTTTCCTGCCTCTTTCATTTAAATTAATTTAAATGTGTTACTAAATTGCTTTACTTACTCCCCACCAACCTTTCTTACACCAAAGAATTTCCAATCCCAAACAAACGGTGGAGGGGAGAGAGTTACACAGTGGTTTTAGGATCCGAGCCTTCTGCAGGACAGAACAGGCACTGCAGGAGCACCTTGGCAAACGCAGGCAAAGACACCACCCTGGAAGGATTGCAGAGCCCAGACAAGCAGGCAGGGTGTATCCTGCGGGGTTTTCCAAACTTCTTGGGTGGCAGAAGCCGCTCTGCTGTTGGATTTCTGGGGAGCAGGCAGGGCAAGCCATGCCTGAAGAGCCCTCTTGGCTCTTGTGCCTGCCTGCGCAGGCAGCTGCCCTGCTCAGTAATCACCCGGACAATGAACTCCTGCTCTGCTCCAGTTCATTATTGTCATTATTTTCTCCTCACATCTGCTCCATTTCACTGATACATACAGTCAATTATCTCCACAGCTAGATTATCTTTATTAGATTATGCAGCTGCTATTGCAGAGCATGCTGAGAAATAGAAATCTCATAGAAATTAAAGGTTCTCCTCAGGTGACCGAAGGCAGCGGGACAGCTTCCCAGTGCTGGGGGACTTTTACTTTCAGAAAACCTGCATAAAGGCACACAGCTGTTTGAAGTGCTATGAACTTTTGAACTTGTGTCTTATAACCCTCATGCTTTCCATTCTGGGAAGTCTGACCTCTAGCACTTCCCAGTTTTGTCTAACTTGTTTACCCAAGTCTTTTGCTCACTTTCAGAGGTGCTCTATCAGCTCTAGATAATGTCTTACTTCACACATAAGGCAAGCTCTTATTGCATGGCCTCCTTCCTTCTGTTTCAGCCCCTATGTTGACAAGGGTGGTGTCCTATGGACAACATAGGACAAGAAGGTGCTATCTTCCATCACCATTAAATCTCACCTGCACCCCCTAACTAGTTCTAAGTTTAAAAGATGTACACCAGAGTAAGAATTATCTCATGTAATGCCTGCGGCTTGTCTGGTCTGTGTTGGGCATCTTGTGATAGCAGATGTTGGATATCAATGTCCTTACTCCTGATCTATTTCATTCAAGCCACTACTGAGTGAAGTATCTTAGCATCTAGAAAAAAACAGCAACAAAAAAACATCCAATAGAGCAAACTAGGAAACTGACATACTGGCAGAGTACTTTCCCAGACTGGGTTTTCATTTATGAAGTAATTTAATTAATTCTTGACAATGCCTAATGGCCTAATTCATAAGCTGCATCTGCAGACTAAAGTCACCTGTTGCTGAGATGTATTTACAGTCCATCTGCTTTACTCAAGAAGCAAAGGTAGCTTTTGTTTTTGTTTTTTTTATAAGTCAAGCACAACAGTAAGAAAGTCTCAAAATATGCAAAAACTTTACCATTTTGCTGTTCCAGCAAGGTTGAGGATGTTTAAATGGCTTTGACATAACAGATGGGAAATTTCTGAAGTCCTGAAACTTGTATTTCAATCCCTGATCTAGGAAGTTCCTATTCATAGGTATTTGTATGGTCTAAATGCAATCCACTCTCCACACTGTGGCTTGCAATACTGCAAACTCACGTGGGATCCTTTTTAAGACAACTGCTTTATTTGACACAGTTTCACCAAAGAGAAGTGTTGTGATGGCATAAAAATGTGAAAATAATGAGTTTAAAAACAAAACAAAAGGGGTGTGCTCTTAGTTACTGGGATGTTCCATCACACAAAGGACATGCTTTCATTATTTTCTCAGCACCTTCATACTTTCACAAGCTCAAATTATCCCTCCTTTAAACGTGGTAAATTATTTTTTACACTACTTAGTAACTACACAGAAAACTAACCCGACTAAAAGCAACTTTATTCAGGATTCCTAATGTTTTTCACTTGCACCTCCTTTATGGCAGATGCACACTGACACCTACTGCTTGGAGCAGAGACAATCCTGTGAGGGATTCATAGAGGCCCCGTGATTCAGCTCGGTGAATTTGCATGGCCGTGTCCATGCAGGCTGCCCTGCAGAGCAGGGAAATAATCCCCAGGGAGCCTCAGCCCTGCATGGCAGCCAGGCACCAGAGCAGGGACACCCAGTGGCCTGGTGCTTACTTTCAGCCAGTGCAGGTGTGATGGACATGAACACACATCACACCGTGCACTTGGGATCTCTTATAGCACATCCCATGGAGGGAGAAGTGGCCAAGCAAATTTCTGAGCAGGTGTGAAATCCAGAGCAAAGTTTTCCAGTTTCTTCAGGAAAGTGACCTGAGAACAAACAGCGTAAAACACCTTACCCAACAGACCTCAGGGTAAGAATACCTGACCTGCATTATTTAAAGAGTTGTCTCAAATAAAAACTGTTAAAAGTTGTACTGAATAGTGCCTGCAGGAGTACTTCTAGGAAAAGAACCAGGCAAAACTGTCCAATGCCTTGCCTGGCACTCATGGGTATTTAATGCAATCTCTGGCACTGCTTGTGATGTCAGGTCTCATTGTAATTTAATGCTCTGAATGCTAACAAGGAAGCTCCACACTACAGAGCTTTTGCTTTTCTCCCCTGTGACGTCACTCTGGCTTATCTCAGGACAGGGAGCTCCTCTGAAAGCATCTACATGACTAACATCACATCCAAGACACACAGGCCAGCACAAAGCATGCCTGAAGATTTCCTGTCTTCTGAGAACTCCTTGCACATACAGAGTGGAATTGTGCTTACAGGGACTTGCTGCTTCATTACCTGAAACTGCTGAGTGCTTCTCAGCACTCATTACTCAAACATCCTGCAGCTGGTATTCACAGTTTCACTAAAGAATTATACAAGGAGCACTTTTTAACAATGTCAACTCCCTTCACCACAAGGTTTTGTTATTACAGAAGGTTTTGGAACGTAAATGCCCTTCAGGCATGACTCCCTGGAACAATCCATCACCCAGCAAAGTTTTCCTCTTCTTTTAACACTATAGAAATCTCCTTGCCTGGTACTGAGCACAGCTGAGCCAACAAATTATCTAATCAAGGACTACAGAGAGGGAGAAGATAACCCTGGTCAGCAGTAGGTGAATGGATTCGAACCCAGGTCTCTCAAACTGGTCAAGCTGGCACCATCCTTATTATGCCCAATGAGAGAGGGCTCCAGCTATGAAATTAATAATTTTCTGCCCAAATAGATTAATAAACTATTTGTACAAATTCTCTTGCATCAGTATCATTATTAACATAAACATTCCCCCCTCTCTGTCTAAAACTCAGGGGGAATATGTGTGCTCTGGTTAATTTCCTACAGTAGCTAGGCTCTCCATGCTCTTTTCTCCATCTTGTAACAGTCTTCCCTTTTCTTAAATCTTCACAAACCTAAAGCTATTGGAACACAAGTGACTTGAAAGTGTTTAAGGCTCACCTGTCTCTTGTACAGAGGTATCCATACTTCTAAGTGTACTGAAAATACTTCCTTTATATATCCACTGTCATATGAATACTTCAACTTAGGTATTTTTATCCCATACTTCCCTTTCATCCCTCCATGAACAAGTATGTCCACATCTGTTTTTTTTTTCCCCTGGCACTTCCAAATGTGAGGAAGTCCCCTTTCAGGGCAAAGATTTTCATTATTAGACCTCAGGTATATGACTTTATTATTTATCTTATTATTTCTTTTAGTATATATCTTACATTTATGCTTATCTTTATAAATATATATAAAATATCTTTTATATATATACATATGACAGGAAGATATTTTATAAATATATCTCTATATCTCACTCCATATAATATCTCACGGTTACATATTTTCTCCTAGAGGACACTGCCAACCCATTCACCCTCCTAAATTTCTGTTATAAGCTCAATTAATGAACATGATTTGACTTTATTATGCTAGTGGCTATCAAGGAAAAGAAGTTCATGGCACTAAAGGATCTCTGGCACCAATCCCCTTCCTTTCCTACCAGGAATATCCATAGTTCTCACCTCCTCCCTACCCATGTTTAAGTTCTAGTACTCATGCCCACTTTTTCCATATAGATGGCATGATATAAAACATTTTGCTGACATCAGACAGATGAGGTCCTTTTCTTCCACTCTCTGGAAGTCTTTTAAAAAATAACATGGCTGTACTGGTGTTACCACTCTTTACAAACCCACGTCACATTTTGTCTCATTTACTGCTTACTCTCATACTGCTACAGACAGTTTATTCCCTTACAAAGTAGCAGTGGTGATAAAGTCTTGACCTACCCACTACTGAAAGGAAAAAAAAAAAACAACCAATCAGTGTTATTGATGGTGTTCTGACAGTTCTGACTTTAAAGTTAAGACCTTTGGTATTTGTCTTATAGTTAAAAACATCAACGAGGGAACCATCTCAATTGTTAGCTGACATGGTACAGCACTGAATAATCAAGCCTGATTTGATCCTACTAAAACTGACCAATTGAGGTGTGCTGGTTTTGGCTGGGGTAGAGTTCATTTTCTTCCCAGTGGCTGGTATGTGGCTGTGTTTAGGATCTGTGCTGAACATGGGGTTGATAATACAGGGATGTTTGTGTTATTGCTGAGCACGACTTACACACAGCCAAGGCCTTTTCTGGTTTTTGTACTGGCAGGGAATTTAGGGGTGCGTGGGAGGCTGGAAGGAGACAGAGCCAGGCCACGTGACCCAAACTGACCAAAGGGATATTCTAGACCGTGTGACATCATACTCAGTGTATAGGGTGGGGGGAAAAAGGAGGAAGGAGAGGGGATGTTTGGATGATGGCATCTGCCTTCCCAAGTAACCATTACATGTGACAGGGCCCTGCTCTCTGGAGATGGCTGAACACCTGCCTGCCCATGGGAAGCACTGAATCAATTCCTTGTTCTGCTTTGTGTGCATGGCCCTTTCCTATTAACCTATCTTTATCTCAACCCACGAGTTTTCCAGCTCTTACCATTCCAGTTTTCTACCAAATCCTGCTCGTGGGGAAGTGAGCAAAGCAGCTGTTTGCTGGCTGGGGTTAAACCATGACAGAGGGACACAATGTTCCTTCCGTCTGGCAAGAGCCAAGCATTATGCAGTGTTTGGAAGCTAAAGAGCTCTTGTTCCCACTTACTTAACTTGTTGTACAATTATCTATATGGAATTACTGCATTCACACTGCAGTGACCACCCTGTGCCCAAATATTCATGATTCACTTGAAGGATTACTTGAACAGTATTTCAAGCTATGTAACTGTAGCTAACACTTGTAGTAATAGAAATAGATTTGACCATCAAACAGCTAAAGCAGACAGTCTTCCCTGCCCATGGTGTGAAATGGAATTCCTACATATGTTACGCACAGCCTCTGGGGCAACAACCTGAACTTTCAGAGTTACACAGAAAAGATTTGCCACCCACTCAAGCTCTCAGTTGTTGAAGCACCAGGAATTGCCCAGCCAGCCCCAGCTCTCCTGCCAAATTAGCTGCACTTGGCAACTGACCTCAGGATTTGTGATGTGTTACAAACAGAAGCAAGACTCATAAGCTGTTCCCTTTATTTACAAGTAACTGTATCCCAGCAATGTTACAAAAGACACGGGCTTGGCAAGAAGCCTGTGTATCAAGGTGCGCAGCTCCCTCTCTGCTCCTACCAGCCATTTCTTCACTTCCCAGCTATGTGTTTATTCCTGACTGTTCTCCTCCTATCTGCATGACAGATTCCCATGGAAACCCATTTCAGTGGACACACTCAGTCTTTGTTCCCCCACCCCATAAGCCTACATCTCTATTTAAGATGTTCAAATTTGCTCCCTTTCTCTCAGAATGTCCTGCTTTGGCATCAGTTTTCTCAGATCCACTCCTTGTTCCCCATCTCTCCTTGGTGATCTTGACAAGGTCAGCCAAAGAGAATCTTCTTCATGATCATCTTTCTATAATCCAGGACAGGGCTTGGAAGGACAGCTCTGAGCAGTAAGACAGATGGAAATGTAATGAAACCCTAAAAACATTTGAAGGTCACATATAACCAGAAAGAAAAACAAAGGGGCAGACAATTTTCAATGAAAAGATATGAAGATTTAAATGAGGAAAAATTTGAGACAGGGGAATGTATGTATGTAGCTGCAAAATAATCTCCTGAAGGAAAAGGCAGAATCTCCTTTGACAGTTTGGAGCTTTTGAGGCACAGACTGAGTAACATCTGCACAAATGGATTGCAGGGAATGACAGTGCATCAACCCAAAGGCAGACAGGATCACGCTGCCAGGCTAGTCCATGAACAATTCCCTGACAGACATTTCTGCACAGCAAGCATTGACTGCACTTCTTCTATGCTTCATGTTAGAAAAATTCTTTAAGAAAAAAAACCGAAGCTACAAAGATAAACAGAAATATATGCCAGAGATTAACAAATTTCAGACATCACTGTAAGAATTCCAATTATCACTGTTCTCACAAAAAGCACCACTGGGATTTCTTTTTATTTGTTTAAATTCTGTAGAGATCAAAGAACCCAATTATACTATCTGGCCCTTCCTCCTCTGCAGCCCTTCATTGTTAATTGCTCTGGCTCCTGTTCTTCCACTAAGCATAAATGAAAGCACTGGAACTGAGCCTGCTACTGAAGCAAGCAGAGCAAACTTCCACAGATGTCAACAGAATTAGACCCCTTTTACAAGCAGTGACTTTGCCCTCCAGTTGGCAAAACAAGAAACAATTTGTTCAAATGCAGCATGAGCACCATTCCCTCCAGTGAGGCTTGCTGGGTACCCGGGCACTCCTGCTTTTCTAGGCTGCAGCAGGGAACTGGATGGGCTGCTGACTCACCATCTGGTTCCTGGTTTCTTTCTGAGCAGCACATGCTGCCAGTTCCTCAAATCCTGTAGAAGCAGTCTCTCCTGTGCCTACAGATAAGCTACTCAGGCATCTAAGATATGTAACAAACCAAAAAAAAGAGGAAAACCACGTCCATCTTGTAATAAAACCCTTAAACCCTGGGCCTCTTCTCTAAATACAAAAGAACCATAACAGAGATTGTATCTACAAAGACTCATGCCACTAACTGAGCAATAATTACAAATGTAAAATTAATGCCCACTTTGATTACAGTCTGTTCAGCACTTCTGAACCCCTCCCCACATTTAATTCCAATAAGGAGTCAATCCCACACAGAAAAATGAATGAAAACAGAGTAAATACCTCACGTAGAAGGGTGACATAGGCCGCTCATCTTCTTGGGAGCTAAAAACAAAATATATTTTGTAAGTTAGTATGCAGCTCTGACTTGTATTTGCAGCTCAAGATACTCTTAAAAAGCAGAGACAACAAAAGTGAAACTGCACCCATTACAGAGGTAACACTTCAGTCTGTTTTGTCCTCTGGTTGACGCATGGAAGAAAGCTTTAAGTTACTTTCCTTAAATCCTGGCAATCCAACTCATTTCCCAATGTCCACAAATGTGGCGTAACAGATCCCCTGCTAGACAGCAAGGAGTCATTCTGACTCTGCAACAGTGCTAGGGCTATTCCCATAGCAACAATCAAGCATTTTGTCAGGAAAACCAAGAGAGTCCTTTGCTGTCTGCTGCTCCAGAATTAAACAATCTGCTTATTAAAGCCAAATTTGGGAAAAAAAAACCCAAAAAACAAAAAACAAAGGAAATCTTGAGTAACCAAAGAAACAACTATGGCCATAGGTGTATGCATGAGGCTACCTACTCCCCAGTTTTACCACTCCTGTGGAAAGTTTATTTGAATGATTTTTCTGAAGGTTTGAGATCAGGGATTGCCACGGGCTGGTGTGGAGGTCTCCTGACAAAATGTTTAGTTGTGTTTTAGTCGTCAGCTGGCCTGGCCCCAACATAACCACCTGGCAAGTGACTTACCAGGCCTGATGCAGCTTATTGTGCCTGTGCTGGGACATAGCAACACACATGATCTCTTGGATTTGGAAGGATTTTATTTATTGGCTTATTAAGGCTGCTCCAAGCACTTGATAAAGGGGAAAGGAACATCTCTGAAGGATTTGCAACTAGGAAATCAAGTACTCAGGTACTTTCTGCAGCTTCCATTGGAGCCAGCATGCAGCTCCCTCAGCAAGGTGAGCTGAAACTGGTCTGCAGCCAGGTAGGTACCCTGCCCTCACACTGCACAGAGCCAGAGGCAGATTCAACCATGGCTCATTTCCAACCCAGCCAATGTTAGAACAGATCCACAAACATGAACTCCAAATTCACGGAGGGGAGCAGAGCATAAGGGAGAAGGCAAGACACAAGGGACTCAGAAAGGCAGGCTGACAAATAAACAAGCCAGTGCTCCAGAGAAATAATCACAGGGATTCAACCCCCCAACTAGAATATGGAAAGATTCACAAACATACATCTACAGAAAAGACCCTAAAGGACAAGATGTAGGAAACCTAATTTGAGGGTAACACCAAACACCACAGAGTGGAAGGAAGTGAATCTGCCTCTAAATCAGTGTGGCCTGCCAAAACTTCATCCCCTCTGAAAGGCAACAGTGCCTGGACAGCTTTCAGCAGCTCTCCAAGAAGACTGGGAGCACAGCTGCCAGTGGGAACCTTGCTGCCACTTCACCAGCCTGTTTTCAGTGGCCTGAACAAGCTGCAGTGCCCAGGGCTGCTGCTGCTGCTGCTCCCAGAGGCAGGCAGGACACAGAGCAGTGCACAGCAGGGGGAGAGTGCCTGCCTGTCAGCTGAGGCTAACAGCACCTCAAGAGCCTTCATGAGAAACTGCTACAGCTTTGAGACTGCCTAGAAAAGGTTGATGGAAATGTGGAAATACACATTACTGCCTTCCCTGAAGACAACCTGCAACAAAGACATGGGTAGGAACCTCTGCTAGGTAAGGCTCCCTCCCCTGATGGCATGCAGTCTCCCAGCCTGCATGCATGCTATCACTTTATTTGGCACTCACTGAATATTTTTTAAGTGTAAAGAAAGCACTTTAAACTCACCAAGCTGCTGATGAAGTTGTTTGCTATGTTCAGTTCACTGCATTAATAGCTGTACTCAATGCAAACAAATCCAAGTAGTGGACAGAAAACATAAAAAAATTTTTCTCACATAAATGAAAGTTCACAGTGCCATGAAGATTCCTGTGCATTAACGCAACTTCAAATGACACCACCAAATGATGCTTTATGTGCAAGTGGCAGTTGCTGAAGCCACACCAACCATGTTTTCTTTTCCATCATAAACACCCCTCCCTCTTTCAAGGTTTGTAATTACCTTCCAAATCAAAGCAGCACAATCATACAAAGTCCAAATAATCTTTTACATTTATGCTCCCAACATTTGTTTTGACAGAGCAGATGGAAAAGTAGTATTCAGCAGAGACTCTGAATCCTCTTGCATTTCCTTCCCTTTCTTCCACAGCAAATGTAACTGGATGCCTCTTAAGTTCAAGCAAGTTTTCTAACTGCATAAAATTTATCGACGCATACAATGAAATTGAGGGCAAACAAATATTTTAAGCCCACTTAGCTGGGAATGGCAGAAAAGGAAGCTATTGGATGGCTAAAAGGAAGCTACAGAAGTCAGAATTATCACTTTCATTTAGATCAAGTGTCAAGATTTCACACGGTTGGTAATAATTGTAGCTGTGAAAAACTTCTCTTACTCAATAGTGGTTCAATAGTTTTACAAGTGCAGCAAATGAGCAGTAGCTGAATCTGGGGTGAAGACCTCCAACCCAACTAGTATGAAATCCAGACTTTTGACAAAACCATAAAAATATTCTAAATTTCTACCTTGCCCAGCTAAGAACTTATCCATTAGACAAACAGGCTTAGCAGTGAATTAAATTTTGGGGGATTTTTGTTTGGTTGGAATTATTTTATTCTCAAAGTTTTGTCCAGATTTACATATGCTTTATGTTCAGAAGGCATGAAATAACTTAAAAAAACTCCAGTTATTTATTCAGCTATCACTGATTACCTGGCCAAGCAGGTGAGTGCAAAATACAGCAGCCTCTTTTCTCAAGCATATAAATAGCTCACCTAAATCCAGGGATTAAACAGAAATTAATCGCTTCCATGAAATACTTGGGAGCTTACATGACAACTTCCTTCCTGCTAAAAACCAAAACAAATACCAGCCAAACTAAGAAAAAAACCAAAACAAACATAAAACCCCACAACAAACCACACTTGTTCTATTTCATGGGCAAAGAAGAATTACTATGTATGTTTGTGACCACCACTGAAATAATAAAAAGTTTGTCAGACTGGATGGAACACCAATTTAGCCCACCAATTAGTTTAGCACATTTCGGGATTGTCAGGCACATCTTTCCATTTCTGAAGAAGGAAATAGGAAAGCCTGGGTGAAGTCTAAATGTAAAATGATCAATCTCCATTACAGAAGGAGAGTTATCCTTTTTTTGCCTCCCTCTTTTGCAGCAGGAATGTTACAGACAGTGTTACATTCACTCCTCACATTCTTAAACAGGTAGTGATGTTTTGGGTTTTTTTCCTGAGGTCTCATAGAACCATGGAATCGTTGAGAGTGAAAAAGACCTCTCAGAACAAGTCCAACCTTTAAATCATCTTGCCCTGCAGGCAGAATAAGGGAGGTGCTGAGCCTGTTGCAGAACACCCATTTAGATGGAAAGTTCCCAATTTATCTAGGTGCATAAGGAATACCCCTGTCCCAGCCCTGTCCTCACTGGCCTGAGCTCCCACTGCAGGTCAGAGTGGCTCAGGGTCCTTCCTCCTTCTTTCATTTGCACTTAACCAGCAGCAGCTCTTCTGTTCCTGGCACTGGAACCTCTCTTACAAAGCTACTGCTGGCTTTCCTACTCCACATCTCTTTTCAAACTTAAATGGGACATTTAGTCGATGAAATTTTTAAAAAATACTCCAGATTTTGGCTTTGTGGGTTTTTTTTGTTAGATTTTTTTTTCTTTTACAATTATGAAAATGTACTTTGACTCATGGGTCAACATTTTGCACCAGAGATGAAGGGCCTAGACACTGGCAGAGTCTTGCTGCTCAGCCAAGGTCATGTTTTCTTAATGCCCTGCCAGAGGCTCTGTTTGTTCTGACCTTAAATGTTAGATAAGGGAATGGCTCCCTTTCGATTCTACCACAGAAATTCTCCACTTTGAAAGAAATGCAGCTGGTTTTTAGTGAGAATTACTTTTTCAATGCAAAGCAATAGCTGCTTTTATTTTTAATGCAATCAAACAAAAAGCCAATGAAAAATTCAGTGACATCAAACTACAAATAATATCAAAAGTTAAAGCAGGCTTTGGAGGGAGGAGAAGGAAGGCTATGTTTGGGTGACTTCTTAAGGCTTCAAACTTATCTCCCTCTTGTTTTTTTTATCATCATTAAGAACACCTATGCCTCCTTGGATTAAAAGATTGCAACTACTGAAAATTTAAAGAATATTGTTTGTTTACTTATTATGACATTCAACACCAACAACACTAAAAACAACTTCAAGGAAACATTGATTTTGAGGCCACAGTAGTGCTTTTTGCTGAAGGTCTCATCTTATTCACAAATTTTTCAGCACTTTTTCACCTACCCAAGTCATTTCCCCATAAAAGTTATTTCAATGTTGCAAAAAAATGCAAGATTGAAACAGCTCATGAAAATTTATTGCATTCTTATTTTCTCAATAGAGCTATTTACCCATAGCTTGTGCTTCACAGCAGTGGGTAAAAGGCAATGTTTTTGCAAATGAGAAATAGCAGGCAACACAAGCTTTTGCCTTCAAATAAATCCTTCAAAATAAACTTCCTTCAAATAAATATTGAGGCACATTATGCAAAAGCAGAAAGAATAATACCATCCTTGATGCAAGATTAACCATAAATTTAATCTAACATCATAACACTGCAGTGACACAATGGTCATCACTAAAGTCAGGACCTACCCTCAATCCTTGAGCAACGCTACCCTTGCTCTACATCCTTAAATGGAGGGGGAGGAGGGAATGCCATATATGCACTGTTTAAAAAACAAATGCTCAACAGATATTTTCCTGTGAGAGTTATTTCCATGCCAACATTTCCATCTTCCCTGAAGATTAACTTTAATAAGTCAAAACCATAACATGTTGTTTCAGATATTTACCTCCAGTCTTTACAATAGTTGTGCTTACATCTAACCATGCATACCACTGAAAATTAAGTAAGCTACTCAGCAAATGAGCCACACATCAAAATCCAAGGCTGACAACTCAACTTTTTTATTCTGAACTTACGTATTCTG